CTCAGGGGGTCAGGTGCTAAGTAAAAGGAGAGTCAGACTTCAGCAGGGTTGTAGTTCTTGCCAAAGAAGTGTGTTGAAAGGGGAGTAGAGAGTTGAGGAAGAGTGTGAGATAAATGATCAGGGGATTTAAAAGTGAGCTTTGTTTCAAAATCTTCTAAAAGCCACTTATTACCTGGGTGATCCAAAGCAAGTCATACTTCCTCTCTGGGACTCAGTCTCTTCTGCAAGATGAGGGGGCTGGACCCGGAACAATGGGGAACAGTCTCCAAAATCTTCGTTGAATGAAGGCAATGAGGTTGTTCCTTCTACTGGTGTTCAGTGGTGGGCCCCCGATTCTTCCTGCAGCAGCAACTGTGGGTGTCAGCGAGGAGGGAGAGAAACCAGGTGCCTGCTACTTAAGGGACATGAAGAGGAATGCTTGCCGGAAAAAAGTGGTCTCTGATGCTGCTTTCTGATCCTGCAGCTAGAAAAGGATCTGGAAGCATCAGTCCTCTCACACTAAGAATAAACCCTCCTTGTCTCCGAGCAAACTTCAGATGAGCATATCGGAAAGAAGGCCTCAGATTGGAAGTTAGATTTGGGTTTTAACCCAATGTGGCCTTTGTCCTTCACTCTCCCTCCTCGTGGACCTCAGTGTTTTCATCTCGGTAATGAGTGAAATTAATTTCACTAAGCTTTTATCTGGTGTTCATTGTTTTCCTGCACGGTGGCATCTTTTGCCTTCTCTAACTTTGTCTGGCCTGTTCAGACTTGGAGACTGCATAGCCCTAGCACGCTTACGGTCCTATAGACTCAGAAATGTGCTTTCCAAATGGATGATGACGACATTAAAAATACTGCATGCAAACACCGAAGTCTTGAGTAAGGACAGACCTTTGGAATCCTAAGAGGAATGGACAGACACTGATGGTAGCAATGTCTGTCTGAGTTCTTCTCTCCTGCTCTCTTTTCTTTGGTGCAGGGACCTGAACTCACTACATCGTGCCTGCCAGGCAGGCACTGTGCCACTGAGCTATATCTCCTGCTGTCTTTGAGTTTAAAGCTGTCTGGGCAAGTGACGCACTTAGGCTAAAAATACTGAGTGGCACTTCTCCCTGGACATGGCACTCCCTGGGTGCCAGATGGGCAGATTTCTAAGAGCAAATCAAAGTTGGGCATGGTGAGGCAACCTACCCCACTCAGTGAGGCCACGGCAGGAAAATTACAAGTTTGAGCCCAGCTTGGACAAGGTAGTGCTTTGTGAAACCCTGTCTCAAAATAAAAAAGTAGAAAAAGGCTGGGGATATAGCTTGGTGCTGAAGGCCCTGTTTAATTTCCAGTTCAATCAATCAATCAATCAATCAGTCAATCAATCAATCAATCAATCCATTGATCAGTGTCTCTAGTGGGGAAGTCATATTCAATCTTCCTGAATTCTTAAGGGATCTGTTACTCAGCTAGCGTGTTTTAATAACTCTTGAGTCCTTGCCAGTCTGCTTTTTCATCTCTGCAAAGGCTTGCTGGGACCCTGGTTTTTATTCAGCAGAGATAAAACAGGGGTCGAGCTCAGAAGTTTTAATAGTCTAGAACTTTATACTATTGTTTCATTTTATTACATTTTTGTTATTCTTTCCTAATAATGGCAAGTAACATTTTTCCAGTTAGAATAGTTTAAAAATTCTCTTAAAATACACATATTCAATTTAAAAGGTTGAATTGATATGATAAAAGAATTAATAAAATATTAAAGTAATATTAAAATATTAATATTAAAAATATTACACAGATCTGACAGCACAGGACTGTTAGTGCCCAGGGGCTGGAAGACCCTGGCAGGCAGTATGGTTGACATGAGCTGGCACAGTGTGGATTTAGATCTACCGGGTTCTGATACTTTGGGATCACTTGGCTCAGTTTTTCCTTAAATAAATGATCACTTTTTTCCCTGATTACCATTTCTTGTTTTTGAAGAGGAGACAGCACTGGGGATTAAATCCAGGGAACACTGAGCTATATCCCCAACACTATCCCTTCTTTAAAAAATTTTCTGACAGAGTCTCACTAAGTTGCCCAGGTTGGTCTGGAACTTGCAATCTTCCTGCCTTAGGCTCCCATCCTGATCACTATTGGATAAACCTTGGAAATACAGAAAAAATTCATAGAATTACAGGAGAAATATGTAGATTAGAATAACTCATGGTCTCAGAGGTGAAAAATAATTACCTCTAAGACATTGGTAAATTTCTCTCTCTCTGTATGTTGACATAGCTGTTATTATAATGTATATCTTTTATTTTTGTAACCTGTTTCAGTACCTTAACATCATCATATAAGCATGTTCCACATTCTTTAAAACTCCCTAAACATCATTCTATGACTTCAAAATCAGGAAATGAACAACTATTTCTAACAAAGCAAGAGACATTATGGTAGCCACCATCAATTTCCTGTTGTCTTATTGTGAAGTTCTGTGTTGTTTACATTGTTCTGTTCTGCTTTGTTTTGTTTTATTCTCTTTAAAATAAAAAAATTTAAGCATCATTCTAAATGGCCATAAGATATTTAATGTAGGACCAGGGATTTAGCTCAGCAGCATAAGCGCCTGCCTAGCAAGCGCAAGGTTGTGAGTTTGATCCCTGGTACCAAAAAAAAAAAAAAAAAAAAAAGATATTTAATGTAGAGAAAACCTTTAATAGATTTAACCATCCCCAAACTGCTGGACATGCTGGACATTTAACTATTCCCAACTGTTCATTCCAGTTTTGTCCATAGTATCAATATGATAAATGTCTTTATGTATATGTATAAAACAAATATACCCCTGTACTTTTTTTTTTTTTAACTGGAACCTTCACACAGAGCTACCTTTTTTTATTTTGAAACAGGGTCTGGCTAAGTCCCTAAGTTTCCCTGGGTTGGATTGAAAGTTGCAGTCTTCCTGCCTCAGCCTCTCAAAGTGCTGAGATACATGCATACGCCACTGCACCTGACAAAAAATGGTATTCTTAGGTAAGGAGATGTTAGGGTTTTTAGGGTACATATTGTCAAATCTCTTTTCAAAAGGATGGGGCCCGAAGATACTCAACTCTGAACCTGTGTAATAGGACACATTTTAGTGTATGCAGAGAGCACTGGTATTGGAAAGCTCTCAGACTCTGTGACTGAGCACATTACTCAAGGTCCCCAGCTCCTGCTGGTGCAGATCTGACTCCAGATCCCTGTCCCCAGATCCACGAGTGAGCGTTCTTGCAGTCTAGCTACATGTATGCTCATGGTGCAGCTTTATCAGTATGGATGTCATTAAGTTCATTTTATGTGTTTTCACGAAAAGGGCTTGATAAAAGAGTTCTGCGAAAATACTTGTCAAACAGGCTAAAATACTTGACTGTAGCTGAAGTAGGAAAGGTTTGAATAAACATTCCTGACTTTAGGGGAAAAGTGCAAACGGAGGTCGCACTTGCTGGTGTCCCCCATGCACTGGCAGGAGCTGCACCATGTGCACTGTGTCTGGCCTCCTGTTTAGCCTGCAGCCCTGTGCCCCCAGCAGCTTTCCCTGCAGTGAATGACAGGGAGGCTTGCTCAGCAGGGTGCTAATGGAGTTTCTTTCAAAACAGATTTTGCTGTTTGGAAAAGACTGTATTAATCAAAATGAAACCTATTATTTCATAGGCTTGTGGTTATTTTGCAGTGCTGGGGAGCAAACCCAAGGCCTTGTGTGGGCAAGCCGAGCACCGTTCCACTGAGCTACCTCTGAGCTGCATCCCTTACTCTTTCACAGGTTTCTTAGAACCTAGTTAATGTTACTTGAGAATCCCCAAGATAGGTTTTGATGTTCAGCATTTGTCAAATCCACTTGACAACAAAACTCTTTTCTGTCTCAAGGAATGGATGTTCCAAAGAACATACTTGGAGAATCACTACTGACAGCAACCTAGTAAGATAAATCCTGCCCTTTTATCTTACAAATAGAGAAACTGAGGTTCAGTTGCATTGACCAAAATTACACAGCTGATAATCTGTGGACTCAGGATTTGAACAGAGAGCCATGTAACCTGGAGCCTGTGCTCTGTCCCACTGTCCTGCACTATCCCCTGTGGGTCCTGCATGGGAGACTCAGACTGCTGGGTGCCTCTTATCCAATCAAGAGCAGAGTTCAGAGAGAATCTCACACACAGTGTGTTCACCATGGAGACTGGGTTACACTGGACACTGAGGCAGGGCCAACAACCCAAGGAAATGAAACCAGATGCTGAGCATGAAAGTTGAAGCCAGTTGGGATGAATCTGTGGGACCCCATGATTTGCTTTGTCATGGTCTCAGCTGGTTTGTGAGGGAACAGAATTCAACTCTTGTGTCTGGGGATGCAGGCAGCAGCCACTTCTCTGCAGATCCTCAGGAACCACGTAATAAGCAGCTCAGGGCTTGTTGTTAAAATTCAGATAAAATTAAAGGTCTAACTTCCCTGAAGTTCTTTTGTTTTTTTTTTTTTTTTTTTTTTTTGGCTTTTTATAAATGCATCTTTTGACATGAAAGAGCACCTTCCTGGTCATCCTCAGATGCTTTCTGGGATATGGTTTTATCTTGATCATTATAGATCAGTGAGTATATTTTGATGAAAACTTTCCATAAATGATCCCAATTTTACTGCAGCATTGGTCACCTGAGATGATAAATTTATTGATACCAGGTAACTATTCTTGGGAGTCTTGTGCCAATCTGGGGAAGTGTGTTTGTGCCTTGCAGACAAGATGACAAATAGAAGACCCTCCAACTTCAGAGCTAGATAGCCTTGGGTAAATTGAGCCTTAACCTATTGCCCTAATTCAAAGTCCTCATTATGTGTCTACTCAACAGCAACAGAAAAATGTACTCAATACACTGTCAAAATCCTTCCATTTCAGCTGGCCATGCCTTGGCTTTCCTGTGCTGTGCCCTGATGAGCAGTTTCCACTAAACAAGTTCTGGGCTCCAAGAAATAACCTTGACCACAGTGACTCATGCCTCATCTCATTCTTGTCCAGGAAGCTACCTCTCCTGCTGTTTCTCTACCCCGCGCCCGCCTGCTGAGATCTTCAGTGCTGAGTCCCAGCCGACCTTCCCAGAAGCTTGCAGAAACCATCAACCTGTGTTCAAATGCCAACTTTGTCCTTGACAAAATGACCTTGAGTATGTTATTCAGGTTTTTTGGAGCCTCCTTTTCCTAATTTGAAAAAAAAAGTAGGGGGAAAGATAGTATTTACCTCACAGTTTTATTTTGCTTTTCAAAGATTAAATGAGATCATGAGAGCAAAAACTGCTTAGCATATAGAAGATAAAAAGAGTTTTGTTGATCTGTGGATCTTCTGGAGGAGCTGGATTTATTTTCCTTTTTCTCCAGCTCTAGAGCATTATCAGCCTTCTCTGTTCTGCTTCAGTCAGAGTTGTCTGTGTTTGTGGGGTGGGGTCACAAACTCACGCTACTCCTTTTAGTATTTCCTCTGGTGTCTTTAGCATAATCCTGGCTCGAGTCATTACATCAAGTTAAATAGACCTCCTGGATGTTTCTCCATGACATTTATTCCAATGACGTCTTTGAGCTGGGGTATGGAGGCTGCCCATGTCTTACCTGTCAGACTGCTCAAGACCTGCACCCTGCAGGCCTCATGGGCACCTCAGATCCAACCTGCCTCAACCTGAATTCCCTAGGTCCACTCCTCCTACAGCCTTGGGCAATGGTTCTCAATCATGGCTGTTTTCGCCCCAGCAGAGCATGTGGCAGTGTGTGGAGGTTTTTGGGATTGTTACTACTAGGGCATCTCTGAGGTAGAGGTCAGATGCTGTTAAATGGATGCACCTTGAGACCATAATGCTAAGAGAAATAAATCAGACACACAAGCTTTTGCATCACATGGCTTCTCTTGTGTGAAATCCCCAAGTTATAAATAATTTAAAGAGCAAAATAAAAGAGATAATACAAAATAGGGCTATAGATTCTTTGCAAATGGAAAGGGGAACTAGAGGGAGGGGTAGGGAAGGGAGGTCCAAGGGAAATACAAAAAATTAAGATGTGTTATATACGTGTGCCAACTCCCCACAACAAATGCAGTCATCATGTATGGCAAACATGTAATAACACACAATTTAAAAACACTGTTAGCAGTGCTGTAGCTGAGGCACCCTGGCCTAGAGAGCCCTATGCAGGTCAGTCAGGTCACGGAGCTGCTCGGCTCACGACCCTCCCATGGCTCCTGGGTCCCTCCTCCTCAGGTTAGTTCTGTCCCCACCTGCAGAGCCCCCATTTCTTGTGCCCCTGAGCTCTTGGGCTCTTTTCCTTGTCTTACCCTCTGGGTGCTCTGCCTCCTGCTGTGCCTCCAACCCACCCCTGGTGCCCTACGTGTCACCTGCCTGGAATGTTCCTTCCCTGGAATCCTCGTGTTCACCCCTCACCTTCTTCAAGTGTCTGCTCAAAGGTCACCTTCCAGGAGGCCTTCCTGACCACTTGCTGCAGGTAAGGCAGTCCTTAAACACAGTTCTGCATTTCTCTGTGGCGCGAAATACAGCCCGATTCATTTTCGGTATATTTTCTCTTCCCACTAGAGTAGAGGAAGGGATTCTTTTTTTTTTTTTTGGGTCTTGTTATTTGATATTTCTCATGGCCCAGTGCTCAAAACCTCTTTGCTGAATGAATAAATCAGTATTATTTGTCCAAAAGTTGGTCCCCTTCACCTGTATTTTCTAAGTGATTTATGAAGCCAACATTTGTCTGACACCTACTTATCAAAATCCAATCTGAGGACTATGCTTAAATCATTTCCCCTTTTAGCTTCTTTATTAAAGGGATATAATTCACACATATACAACCTGTACATTTAAAGTGGTGTATCATTAAATGGTTTTTGGTTTATTCAATCATGTGAACATCAATCACCACAATTTTAGAATATTTTTAGCACTCCCAAAAGACACCCTGCACTGTGTAGACATCACCTTGCCCTTCCACCCCGACTCCAGCCAGTCGCCTCCAGCCTCCGGCAAGCGCTGATCTGATTTCTGACACTGTGGTTTTGCCTGTTCTGGATGTTTTATGTAAAGGAAATTCCCTAATTTCCAGACAGGCTTCTTTTACTTAGCTTAATATTTTTAAGGATCACCCTTGTCGTAAACTGTATTTGTATTTCATTATTTCTACAGCTAAATAATGTTCCACTGACTAGATTTGCAGCATTTGCTTATCCATTCATTCAGGTTGTTCCAGTTTCGGGCTGCCTTTGTCTCAGCTGCCACCCAGAGTACCCTGTGCTGGGCACAGGTTAATGCTGTGTAACCTTTTCAGGATCTCCCAGCTGTTTCTCCTTCCTTTCCCTGTGGGTCCACATCCCGCCAAGGACCAGGCGCTGGTTCTCTCCCTTGGCTGCAGGGCCTCCCAGAGGCCCCTCTCCAGCAAGTCACCATCAGCTACACATCAGTCTCAGGGAAGGCAGTTTCAACTTCCCAGAGCCCAGTGCACACCCGAGCCCAATGCCAGCAGCCTTTTCTGATGGGTCCCGGGCACTAGGACTTTCCACGGTGTGATCACAGGAGAGAACGCTGTCCCTCTTGCCTCCACCCAGGCTTCACCTGCCACTTGAATGCTTTCTCTATGGCAATTCTAGAATCCCCTCCATGATGCAAGCCGGGACACATTTGTGACCTCCATCCATCCTGTGTTGGGCCACTGCAGTGTGAATGCTCAGCCACACCCACTCAGTCCCTCCTCTGGAAGTGCCTTGCCCATCTTTGGGCCTCCTCTGGCAAGTCCTACCCAACGGCTCACCTTGGTGGGCTGGGCGGGCCCCTGCAGTGATCCAGCGCTCACAGCACTTGCAGGCCTCGGGTTTAGGAGCAACTCTCAGCAGGGCCTGCGATCCTTCATCTGTGTATGCCAGAAGCCTGTAGCTGTCTTTTTCCTTTTGGGTGCGTGTTGGGGGTGTGGGGAGACTAAGGAGTGACGCCATGATGGAGTGACAGATTGCCTACTGGTCTGTGTAGGAGCCAGATGAGCCAGGCGATCTTGCCCCAAACATCTTCAGAGCCCCGACTGTGCCTGGAGGCAGCAGTAGCCTCACTCACCACCCCTCACTGGGACCCTGAGTTCTGAGTGTTTTCACACCATGGAGACACCTAACTGTATCCCAGAGCCTCAGGCCAGGCGTGCTAGGCCTCTCCAGCCCTGATCCCTGGTCCCAGCAGATGTTGGCAGTGTGGGGGTAGGGGTTGGGGTGGGGCAGGCCTTCCAGGGGTACATCACATACATCCATATTTAAGGGCCTGAGTTGGGGGGAACATCCCCTGACCATTGCTTTCCCATGAATCTCCAGGCTCAGGAAATAGTTCCCTGGAGCTATGAAGAGTGTAGCATGGGAACAGTGGGTACAGAGCGCACCAAGGCCCGCCTGCCTTGCCCTCTCCCTGACCTCCCTGTTACAGGGGCTGTTGGAGGCTGTACTGTCAGCTGCTGGTGCTGGAGGCCTCTGTGAGCATGAAGCCACAGAAGCATGGGCTCCTTACTACTGCTCTGCCCAGGCTGACAGAACTTGTTTCCTGTGAATCAGAAGAGCACAGGGAGGGGATCGTCTTTTCCACCACGAGTGCGGTGGAAGGGTCTTGGTGGGGGGCCTTGGTGTCCTGTGAGGCACGAGTGCTGGGGTTAGATGATTCTGGAGGCTGCTTTCATGCCTAATGCATCGCTCCAGCTGAAAGCAATGCTGTGTGAAAGTCTTCCTCTTGGGTCCTGAATGATCAGGAAAACCATGTGCGGGAAGGACCAGGGCGAAACATGGGGAACTCCAACGAATTTGAAAACAACCACTGTTTGTCTTTTGATTTCTCTTGTGTCTGGGCTCTGCATACACATGGTAGTAAAGCTGTGTGGGGAACAGCACTGAACGAAGAGGGATTCTCCAAGGAATCTTCAATTCTTGCACTGCCCTTGAAGAGCAGTGTCTTCAGAGCTAGTTATTTTTCCTGTTGAGGCCTCAGTTTGCTTATCTGTAAAGGGGGATATTGACACCTTCCAAATTCATCAATAGACCCTTGCTCAGAGATGCTGTGCACCTGGCTGAGTGGGGCTGAGTGGGGTGAGGGGAAGGTGGAGAGGACAGGAAGAACCCATTGTCTGGCAGAAATGCAGTCCGGTAAACAGGCAATCACAACGCACTGTTGTAGAATTAGGTGTTCTAAGACCAACAACTGGCATTAATAAGGGTGTATTCCACAATCTTCTCCTCTTGAATAGAAAGTGCCTATTTCAAAAGTCAATAGTAAATGTTCGGTAATAATTAGCTGCTGCTGACTGTCCCAAGCTAAAAGTGTCAATCTTAGGCAGTCCAGGAGCCAAGAAAGACAATACCCGGCTGGTTCTCTGGCCACTGTTACAAAATTTAAAAAATTTGGGGCTAGTATGGGAACAGAAGGGTGGTAGGATGGACAGGCCGAGAAGCCCACATGCACCTGTGGGAGCATAGGGATGAGGTACCCGAGCCAGGAGCCCTGCCGAAGTCCGGGGGAGGACGGTTGGATTGTCAGATCAGTGGTGCACACACTATTGGCCAAGTGCTCAAAGTCATAAAGCTACATGTCTCCTCCCATCACACATGAAAAGATTCACTATCTGTTAAAGAGTTACATGTAAATCAATCCGATTGAAAAATAATGTTCGACAATAGAGAATTGATTAATTATTGTGTATGGGTACCATAAGCTAGTATCTAGTCCTTAATGCCATATTTTAGAACTGTCAGTGTGCACAACTTAGTATTAAAAAAGCAGACTGTGCAAAACACATAGTGTATGACCTCAGTTTTGTAGCCTAATCCCCTATTAGGCTGGGGCTGGTGACTTATGCCTGAAACCCCAGCATTCTGAGAGGCTGAGGCAGAAGGATCCCAAATCTGAGGCCAGTCCATGCAATTCAGTGACTGAAAATGAAAAAGGGCTCAGTGCAGTCTGTGGGTTCAATCCACAGTACTCCTTGCCAATCCCCATGTGGTAGACATTCATGTTGTCCAGGTGTACAGCGTATACTCTCATACATAAGTATACACAATAAAAACACCTGTAGCAAAACATCAAAATGATGATGCTGATTAGCTCAGGATCCTACTCTTCCCTAACAAGAGGCATGAATCAACCACACTCAATTTTAAACCTCTGCTGGGCCCTGACAGCAGGTGTGGTCTGTGTTTCTCTGCAAAGGAGACCCCTGTCCCAAGGTAGAAAACTGTTCCTGGGCACTCCAAGATGGTCTGGGGCAGCCACCCTGAATTTTATTCTCAGGGGAGAAGTAAAGTTGGTAGTTAGCGTCCTCTCAGTGAAAGTTTTCTCCTGTAAGATTATTTTAGGGTCTAAGGGATGCAGCTCAGCAGCAGAGAGCTTGCCTAGTGTGTGCAAGGCTCAGGGTTCAATCCCAGCACCATCCACGTTCACAATTCCTGCAATGTCTGATGCCCACCATTACTCTGATATACTAGATATACTAGCATTTCATGGGATGTTATTGGATTCAGTACTTTACACTGTATGTTTGACTCTACCCTATCACTACTGCCTAATAAACTGTCTATCAAAAAAAAAATGAAGACCCCAACAGTTTAGGGTTCTGTTTTCCACTTTCCCCAGGCGGTTCTGCAGCTCATCATCTTGAGAACCTTTGTTACCTAAGCCAGAGTGGCAGGCAGGTCTCCCGCTGTGCTGTTATTATAATCACTTGTGTGACTTCTAAAATTTCTAATGGGAAGACCATACCAGGTCACAAAATTCAGATTCTGTGGGACTTGATTAGTTATTGTTCCCTGAGGTGATCTCAACATAAAATTACAGCTGACCCAGTGTTTCCAATGAGAACCACCGGAACCCCACTGGAAAGCAGGGCTCAGCCTTCTGACCAAGGACTATGTGTCTGTGTCTCCACCTGCTGGCCTTTCGGACACACTGCTATAATTTACTTGTACTGTAAAGGTAGTAAAGACAAGAGGTGGATGCTAATTGTATTTTTATTTAAGAAAGACAGGTTTATTTTGGCTCAGTTTTTATTTTTAGTGTGTCTATGAATATGTTTTTTCTTCTTTTCAGACCATTTTCTTTATTAGTACATGTTTGTAGTGTATAATATTGACTTTCCTTGTGTGGAGTTGGTACATGTACAGGATACATCTTAGTTCCTTTTTCCATCCCCTTCCCTCCCTTCCTCTCTCCCTCCATCTCCGATCCACTTCTTCTTCTTTTTTTTGGTACATGTTTGCAGAAAATTATGTTTACATTCCTTACGTGGCACTGAAGCATGTACATGTTTATAAAGCAGTGCTGAAGGCATGACAACACCCAACTTCAAAATACACTACAAAGCCATAGTAACAAAAACAACATGGTATCAGCACAAAAACAGACATGCAGACCAATGGAACAAAAGACACAAAACAAACTCATACACCAGAGCCATCTTATTCTTGACAAAGGCATCAAAAGTGTATGTTGTGAGAAAAGATAGCCTCTTTAACAAGTGGTGCTGAGAAAACTGGGCACCCATATACTATAAAAAATTGAAACTAGGTCTCTGTCACTTTGTAGAAAAATCACTTAAAAAATTTAGGAATAAGATCTGAAATTTTGAAACGGCTAGTAAAGAAACCAAGGGAAACATCTGAAGTCATAGACATAGGCAAAGACTTTCAGAATGACTTTAGTAATAACACAGGACGTAATAACAAGAATGAACACATGGCACTACGTCAAGTTAAAAAGCTTTTACACAGTAAAAGAAACAATCCACAAAGTAAAAGGACAGCTTACAGAGTGGGAGAAAATCTTGGCCAGCTACTCTTCTCATAGAGAATTAGTATCTAAACATAAAGAACTCAAAGTTTAATGGCCCCCCAAATCAAACAGCCCAAATCAATAAAATGGCAAATGACTGGAAGATATTTCCCAAAGAATCAATAGCCAGTAAGTATATGAAAAAATATTCAATATCATTAGCCTGGTCAGAATGGCATCAAGAATATAAAAAACATACTAAGATTAATAGTATCAGTAAGAATGGAAATGGGGAAAGGGTATTCAGAGGAAGAGGGAGGGAGAGAGGAGGACAGGAGAGGGAGGGGATTAAGAAAACTAAAGAAACTGTTACATACATGGATCCATCTACCTAGATGAATGGAAACTTCATGGACCACAAACATACTGGAAAAAAGAACACACAAAAAACAGCTGAATGTGGTGGCACACATCCCTAATCCTAGCACTTTGGGAGGCTGAGTCAGGAGGTCTGAAAGTTGGGCCTAGCCTGGTCTCAAAACTCAAAAAACCAAAGGGGCAGTGGATACAGCTCAGCGCAAAGGCCTTGGGTTCAATTCTCAGTACTGTGAAAAAATACGTGGGTGGGAATGTGAATTATACAGCCACTGAGAGATCAAGATGGGGCTCCTCAAAAACACTAAAAACAGAACCACCATGTGCCCCAGCTATACCACTCCGAGGTACAGAGCCGTATTAGCTTTTTTGTTGATAAGATGCAATACCTGGCACTCATTATTTAATTCAGTTCAGTTTCAGGGCAGCCAGCAGGCTTCGCAGCAGGAGAACCATGGCGGAAGGGCATGGTGAACGGCGTGGCACAGCAAAGCTGATGAGTTCCTGGGAAACGGTGCGGAAGAGGAAAGGAGGAGGGACCACAGACTCCAAAGCCACTTCTCCACCCTCACCTAGACCCACCCAGCAGTGTGCTCCACTAATCCCTCAGGCATATCCCAAAGCCAGGCAAACCCGTGTTCCACCTTACCCATATTTACCACAGCACAGTTCATTAGGCCAAGGTATGGAAGCAGCCAGGGTCCCATCGATGGATGAGATTTTAAAAATGAGGCATATAGACACAGTAGAATATTATTTAGGCATAAAAATGAACAAGATGCAAGAAAATGGATGGAATCATAGGACACTGCATTAAACAAAATTAGCAAGGCTTGGAAAGACCAGTATCATATCTTCTCTAATATGTAGAATATTAAAAGAGAAATTATGATACTTATAGACAAGCATAATGTATATGCTTGTCTATAACAGGGCAGTACAAGTTTTGAAACCATTAGAATAAAGCACCTAGGTAATGATTTGTAATACTTGGTACATAAAAAGCAGCCTATCAATGTTATTACCATTATGAGGAAGCCTAAATTAGACCCCCAGTTAGACACTGTAATTCTTATAGCCTTCTACTTTTTATTCATTTATTTCCCAGCATTAAACATTCTGCAGAACCTTCCCATTTGCAGATTCCACATTGCACCCTGATTCCTGGCTACCCAGGTCAGAGGCTCTACCACCTCTGCCTGTGGCCATGACAGGAGAGTGATTCTTCACAGGGCCAAGCCCTCTGAACAGAGCTGGAACAGCTGCTAAGCCATTCTAAACAAACAGTGGACAGCCTGCTCATTTCTGTGATTAAACCCCACATTATCCTATGCGTGTGCTTAGGTCTTTCTACTACAATATTTGACATCTGAAAAGTATAAAGCAAGTCACTGGTTTGATGATCCTAGAAGTGCTACTTGTGATCCACAAGAATCAAAATAGATGGTCAGGGTATCTTCTAAAAAGCCCATAATGGCCCTTTTGGCTTTGTCCCCAGCCATTGCCTGAACACTGCTTATGTGTTCCAGGGCCACTTCAACCATTTGGTCTCTTTCCTGTGGGCTGTGGTTTGCTCCAGACTCCTCTCCCTCTGCTCCTGATTTTAAGAACTGTAGGATGTAAGATTGGATCATATCCCCATTCAGTTCAAGGGCTTCTTTGATGTAGGGCAAATCGGAGGCACTGGCCAAGCTCAAAAGATGAATCAATGCCTGGCAGATTTGGGTCCGAAGGCTGGCACAGTACTTGAATTCCAGAAAGTCTGTGGTGTCCTCACTCTTCTGTAAGGCAATGACCAGCGAGTTCCAGATCTGCACATATTGCTCCACAGACCCATACTGCTCCCTCTTGCCTGGGACAGAAAGGGCGGTGGCTGATCTGATGCGCACTTTAAAGTTCTTGCATGAGGTCACAACCAGCGTTAGGGCGTTGTAGGCCTGGGAGGTCCAAGGTGCTGTGCCTAGAAAGAATCCAGCCATGGAAACCAGTAAAGGCTTGGAGTAAGGGGTGTGCAGGAGAGGGGTTTAGGGGAAGCATGCCCATTAGTGCTAAGATGGCTGATTTATCTGTCCATTCTGTTCTTATACTAACCCTTCAGCTCAGGGCAGTGAGTGACTAATTCTGGGGATCAACACTGACCCCCAAACCTCCCTTTTTCCCTAGACTGATCTGCAGCATGCTTGGGGCCTCTGCTGCCTAATAGAGGATCTCTGGGGACTTAGAAGAAGGCTTTTTTTCTGGGAGGACTCTGTCCAAAAGTGTACGGCTTGGTGGGAGAAGCACAAAAGAGCGAGCTGCAGCTGCTGCAGAATGAGCTGCTACCTCCCGGACACTGCTAAGTTGTACATAACCTGCACAAATCTATGCAGCAGCTCTATTAATGGAAACGTAAAGATATTTCTCACCCATATTAGCATCCAGACATTGCTCTCACCACATCGTCATGCATTTTATTGTAAAAAAACACAAAACTTCTCATTTTAAGAACAAGATGATCAGATTTCTTTTTTCCACTCCTGTAGGCTGTAGGAAATCAGCTTCATTTCCTCCTCCCCAGAGCTACCGCTCTCCACCGTTTTGGGGAGTCCTTAGTCTTCAGGAGGTGCACAGAGTGGAATGCAGCTCTCCAGGCCCTTTCCCCCTTCTTTGTTGCTTTTGAAGACAGGTGAACAGGCCCTTTCCAATTGCATGCTATTGCCAATACAAGGGGCCAGTGTTCGAGGTCCTTGGCTCTTACCCTGTTCCTCCTCCCTCCTTGGTCAGTTTCCTGGCTCCCTTAGCTTACATGGCCCTCAGCACTCTGCCTCTTTAGTGGAAAACTCCCCCTCGCTGCTCTGCATGGGCACTCTGGGTAATAAGGGGAGCAGAGTCTGTTCCCCTGTTTCCCTGTTCTCTCGCTTGGTACATGTGCCCTGGGCCTATAACAGCTTTCTTCTCCCAGGCACACTCACCTGTCTGAGGCTTCAAACCTTGGCAGAGGCAGATGTGTAAGTCAAACACTGATGTTCAGTGCAGGGCTCAGGAGGCCATCATCCATGTACCTAAGCCACCCCCAGCTCAAGGACATTGTCAAGGAACACATCCACTATGATGACACGACCGAGACAGATGCCCTCTTTACATGCAGCATCCACTCATGGGATTTCAAATTTGTATTCTCTCATTCCAGTTTTTTCCTGTTTTTCTCGATTGTTTAAACAATATACACCCACTGTAGAAAGTTTAGAAGTGAAAGAAAAAAAAATCCTACTCATTTTTCTATGGAGAGGCAACCACTGCAAATAATTAGGCCAATTCTCTTTCTTTTTTTTCTAACCCATCTAATGCAAACATTGTAATGCAGACCTGATTTATATCCTGCTTTAGTTTGCTTAATCACTTAATGGTTACCCTGAGTATGGCTTGGGCAAGTGTCATTTTAAGCAATTGATTAGATAAATGGTTGTTTTTATATTTCTTGTTATCTTGTAAAAATTTAAAAAATATGCAATTTTTGGTCACGCAGTATTTAAATAATTGGACTGGTAAATGGTTAACATAAAAAACAGCTCTTTGGGGCTGGGAATTTAGCTCAGCGGCGTAAGCGCCTGCCTTTCAAGTGTCGTAAGTTCGATCCCTGGTACTGATAAAACCGAAAAAGACCAAAAAAAAAAAAGCAGCTGCTCAGATTATCAAAAACCTTTATACATATATAGAAATTTTTGTTTTTTTGGGGTATGAAGGATCACACTCATGATCTTGCATTTACCAGGCAGGCACTTGAGCCACTGAGCTAAATTCCCAGCCCAGTATAAACATAATTTTAAAAGACAATAAAATATTTCAGTGCCTGAATATATATAACGATTTACTTCCCCGATCCTCTAAACCCGGGTTTCTAGAATGCTTCCATTGTTTTCTAACCCTGCGAGAAAAAACATGACAAATGTCTCTGACCAGTGTATGCCTCCCAAAGAGGTTCTCCACCAAGGAGGAGGGAAACAGTCTTACCAAGCGGAAGGGCAGGATTTTTAAATACATTTCCCATCGCATAACAAGCATTCCATCGAACTTTCATGGCAGCCTCAATTAGAACAGTAGAAATCAGGGCCTGGATAGATTCTTCAATGATTTCGGCAAATCTGGGCTTTTCTATATGAAATGGTTGCAGAAAATGAAGCAAATTTCCAAGGGCCCGGACAGCGTTGCTTTTTACCTAGAACAACATTCAAAAGCTTTAGAAATCCATTTTGCTGTAAAGGTTTGAGAAAGTATAATCATCACTTTAAAAAGCCCAGGAAACCCTAGATTTCTCCAAGCAAGACAGCTAAGGCAATGGCGACCCTGTTAAAGGATGTAAGTCCTCAGAACTCTGCAAGGTTACATCTGGTTAACAGGCACAAAAAATGTTAAAAGCATAGGCAGGACAAGCCAGGACCTGAACCTATGAACAGCTGATCTAAAACTTGGCCTATGCTTTTAAAATTTATTGTGTAAAGAAATGTTGAAACCCAGAGTTACTATATCTAACTTGTCAGTTAAACACACACACATTTTTATATATATAATATATGTATTATATATTTACTTATATATATTTTAAAATATTGGACTAATATTACAACAAATATAAATATATCATAATATTACAAAGGACACAGATATTTTTCATGAAACAGGAGATTAGTAAAGAAAATGCAGAAGTGTGGAATGGGGGTTACACGCTGAGCATCCTCTCTATCCCCTCTGAACAAGGGGACTTTTTGGGGAACAGTTTAAGGAATATTATGCCACCTTGCGCCATCAGCTATGCTGCAACTGTGGCCACTAGTATTTCTAAACAAGAAATACTAGGTTTTCTTGGAGTCTACCTTGTCTTTGTCCTTGGAGGCTTCAATTGCTGCTCGCAACATTTTTAAGAGCAGGAGACCACAGAACTCTTCTTGGAAAGTTGGGTCGGGTGTTTCCCTGTTCCATCCAAAGCATGCAAAGTAAGTTAAACAAGAGAAATGAAAATGAAAACAACACTGAGATTCTATCTTATGCCAGAAAGAATGGCTCTCATCAAGAAATTAAATATAACAAATGCTGGCAAGGCTATGGGGATAAAGGAACCCCTCTGTATTGTGGGTGGAAATGCAAACTGGTGTAACTACTATGGAAATAGCAGATTTTGAGTCTTCAAAAGACTGAAAATAGAAATTCTTTTTGACCTCGCTAGGTGTCTTCCAGAAAGTATTAACAGGAGCATATTATAGTGATACATGCATACCCATGTTTATAGCAGCACAATTCTTAACTGTTAAATCTTGAAAGTGTCCTATACGTTTGTCAACAGATGAATAAAGAAAATGTGGGGCCGGGGATTTAGCTCTGTGGTGTGAGTGCCTGCTCGGCAAACACAAAGTCGTGAGTTCAATTCCCGATACAAAAAAAAAAAAAAGAAAGAAAATGTGGTATTCATACATAATTGAGTAATATTCTGCCATTAAGAAGGATAAATTGGGTCATTTGTAGAAAAATTTGCTTGAGACCATAATTATAAGTGAAATAAATCCAACATACAAGCTTAAATATTGCCTGGTTTCTCTTACACAAGAAACTCAAATTATAAATAAAGAGAAAAATAAAAGATGGGTAATAGGAAAAGGGAGACACATCTTTTGTAAAAACAAGAGGGGGACCAGGAGATAAAGGGAGAATGGAGTGGGAGGGGATGCAAAAAAAGAGTAGGATGTGCTATGTACACGTGCCACGTCCCCATGAGGAATGTGATCATTATCTACTGCAAACATGTATAGTCCTAATTAAAAAAAACTGAAAAAAAGAGTAAACAACACTTAAATGTATATACTCACTAAACATAACTATAAAAACTTTAGGAAAACAATTTAAATCTGTTTAGGCTATAGCAAGAACTCGGGATATCTTTTGACCCAGCAGTGCCATATATAATACTGTATCTAGAGAGAATAGCTGAAAATAAAGATATTGCCCACAAAAATGTTCACTGGATAGATACCAACAAGCCTAATGCATAAAACAAACGCTCAGCTATGGTTAAGGATTCATGACATAGGGCCAACTACATCATATACTAAATAAGGATTTATTAAAAGTTAGTAAAAGAGAAATTTTACTTACAGATGTATATGGAGTTAAGTGACAAAAAGCAAGACACTTGTGCATGATAACAATAGGTGCCTCTGGGGAGGGGAATGAACTGTTAGGGCAGAAAACCGGTATTACACTAATTCCTCTGGGTACTGTTTGAGTTTTTTTAAAACTCATGAATCTATTACTTAAAAAAACAGAAACAACTGTATTTTACAAATAGGGTAACTTAAGGTTTTGGATTTCTACTTTTTATTTTCTATAATATGGGTATATTACACGTATTAACATACAGTATTTTTATACATATATCTTAATTTTCTCATTTATGTTAAGAACAAGTTATTAAGGGGCTGGGGATTTAGTTCAGTGGCATAAGCGCCTGCCTTGCAAGCAGGCAGTCGTGAGTTCGATCCCTGGTACCAATAAAAAAAAAAAAAAAAGAAAAAGAACAACTTATTAAGCTGGGTGCGGTGGCACATGTCTGTAATTCTTGTGCTCTGGGAGGATGAGGCAGGAGGAGGTCAGTTTGAGCCTAGTCTGGACAACTTAGTGAGACCTTGTCTCACAATTAAAAATTTAAAAAGCTAGGATGTAGGTCAGTGTGAAGCCCGGGGTTCAATCTCATTATATTAAAAAAAAATAGAACAAGTTATTCATCTTATTATTTAAAGGAATATAAACCAAACCAAAGTGGGAAGATTGACTATACTATGAAGGGGTGAAAACACCCTCTCAAGACCTCACCTTGGAAGTTACCCAGGGAAATTAAGCTCAGTCACTTACATGTTGACTATCAGAGTGTCTGTCAGGTTGCCCAGGGACCAGGCTGCTTTGGCACGGACATTCAGAGATTTGTCTTGAAGTGACATCAATATTGCATTTGCTGTGTCTGCAACAAATATGACGTCCTGTAAGAGAAGCCAAACTGCATTACTTTAGGGTTCACAATGCTGCTTGTGAAATTCTCCAATTTATTTTCATATAAACTACTACAAATTTCAACTTGGAAACCAAAATTTACTCAATCAACACATTGTTCTTATTTATTATACTCTGGATACTCCATGCAAAGAACTCCTCTGTAATTAGGTTTCTGTCGTAGATGCGTGAGGAGCCTATGGGTTTTGCTCTTTGTGAACATCCTGTAGCCTGGCCTGTGACAGTTACCTATGTGTTCTGGCTTGGGTTGATTTCCACCTTCGAGAAACAATGTTCTGACATGAATGCTTTCTAAAATATATCATATTCGTTACACATCTCTCAGTGAGATGAACATTACAAATAAGAGTAAAGGAGAATTTCACTTCCTTAGTAAAATCTTATCAACTTTCCAAACTATTACTATTGCATGGTAATGCTCCTTTTCATTTGTATTCATTCATTAAGTTAAGCATTTACTGGGCACTGAGGGCCTGGGAAGTGTGGTAATTAAACCTAAATGTACTATGGGTATTACCACATTCATGCAGCAACTCAGGGAACTAGGTTACAAAGCAAGTTAAATTCCTTCACTATCTAACTCAGGAACTCTACATCCACAAAAGAGACTGTTAGAGACATGGAAGAGCTAAAGAGGATCACTCGGACCTGTCTGAGACAAGGAAAAAGCACGTAGACTCCAAGAGCTCGTGAGGTCGCAGCTTTCACTAGACGGTTCTTGCAGTCATTCAGCCCAAGCAGCATTGTGATGCACAAAATCTGCCTGTCATTCTGCAACAAGAAAGATGACAAAGAGAAGACTGACAATGAAATAACTACGAGCCAAACTCTTCCACAAGTAACTGAAATAAATCTGTTTGAGCTCCACAGTCAGGGGCCGAAGACTACAATGACAGAGAATCCGGTTTGTGCAAGGCACACACAGCATCTCATCACAACCACCTTTCGGCTATGTAAATGAGGTCATTGCTCTATTAAACTGCTTTCTTTGTAGAAGCTAATTGACACAAAGAATAGATGCAAACGTCACTGAGGATTACTGGAAAGGAGTAGTATGAATATTGCTATGGTTCTTGGCCCCTCCAAATCTGGGACTCCTTATCCAAAAGGTGATAAAGTATGCTTTACCTCTAGACTGTCCCTCAGAAGTCTCACGTATTCAGAGGTGGAACCTTTGGAAGATCACTCAATCACGGGGCAATACACTAATCAGTGGGTACATCCATTGAGGACTTCATGGCTAAATACGATGCTAGGAGGTAGGGCCTGGTTTGAGGTGGTAAGCGGTCACAGGAGCTATAACTTGGCCTTCTCTGTCTGATTCCTGGCTGCTAAGGGTGAGCAGCTTTCCCACACAACTCCTTTACTCATGTGGTTTCTGTCTTGGAGCCATACAACCACAGACAGAAACCTCTAAACCATGAGCAAAATAAACCTCTCCTTATAGTTGCAGGTGCCAGGAATTTTGATCCAGTGCCAGGAGTGTGGACTAATATTTGATGGTATAAGGAGGTGGGGCCTTTGGGCAGAGCCAAGAGTGGGATAAGTACCCTCATAAAGAGCCTCCAGAGAGTGGCCTTATCCCTTTTACCATGTGAGCTATGAGACAGCGTCTTTAGATCAGTGAGTCAGCCCTAAATACCTTCATACCAAAATACCAAGTACTACCTAAATACCAAATCTGTAGATACTAATCTCAGAATTCCAAGAAATTTCTGTTATTTAGAAGCCATTGGCTATGGCATTTACTAAAGCAGCCCAAAAATCCTAAAACAATTACCGTACACATTAGGAAACCAAACCTAGGTATTTTCATATACTGCTTTATTTCTCACATAACTTTCATTTTAAGATGATAATATAAGTTTCAGAGAAGTTAAAATAATCAAAGAAGACTTAAATCCAGGATTTTATAATTCTGGGGAACAAATCTTTCAGAAATCTCTCTGCTTTCAAAGCTACTTGCTTCCACCACCTACCTTCGAAAGCACAGGGAGAAACAGCTTTCTTGACAGATGATTTTACTTTTTTAAGTTTTCCCATTGCTGTGGCCCACTGTCCCCATCCCAAACACAAGCAAGAGAATCTCGTTTTCCTCAGAGCAAGTGTCAAAAATGGTTCAAAATTAAAAAGGATCAAGCTCTGACACATTGGGCATGGTTTGAAGGGGAAGAACCACAGCTGGCATTACCGGAAGACTGCTGAAGGCTTCCGGCAAGATGGCAGACAGGGCATCACAGGCGCTCGCCTGCAGCGTTGGGTGATCTGAACTCTGCAGGGCTCGAGGCAGAGGACCATTCAGCATCATAGTCCAGAACATCACCACCTGGAACAGAGGGTATGAAAACAAAATGCAAACTTTATGCCAAATTCCTATCACCAGGACTGGTACACTGGGGACACTCTTAAATTGTGGAACAGCCTTTTAAAAATTTTGAAAAATTATCTCACTTTAAAACCTCTCAGGTAGGCATCTGCACACTTTTGTTCCCATGCTTTATGAAAGGGCTAGTGAGGCTGGGAATGTAGCTTAGCAGCAAAGTGCCTGCCCTAAAAATAAACAAACAAAACTCAAAAAAGACATAGGATTTAACCTTCATTTGCAAATCCATCTGCGGTGTTGGGATCTTCAGTTTCTGTCCCATGTACTTTGTCCTGGGTTTAGCTGTGTATTTGTGGAACAAAATACCTAGAAACCCAGTATAGTCTCTCTCTACCTCAGTCCTAAAGAATGTGGATAGAAGGTGTGGCTGCAGTTTCCAGGGGGCCCACAGTTAGTCTCACTCACTAATATTTACACTTCTGCTCAGTCCCCTCACACACAGAGTAGGGCTGACCTGTGTGACCAACAGGATGCTGTAGAAACGACCGTTCGAAACTTCTAAGTCATAAAAGACACTAGAGTTTCTGTCTCGCTCTTTTTCTGGAATCATTTTCTGTGCGAGAAGCTGCCTGCCAGGTTGAGAGAACACTCATACAGCTCCGTGGAGAGGGCAGCTTGGGGAGGACCTGAGTGAACTTTCTGCCAGCAGCCACCTCCACCTGGCTAGGTACACGAATGAGCTGCCTTGAAAGATCTCGCAACCCCTTCACCAAACCACGTCAATTCCTGACCCACCAAAACTGTGTCAGACGATGAAGGTATAGTGTTTCAAGTTGCTGTATGGATTCCAACCTGGTAAGAGTGACAGCAAAGTCCAGCTCATCTCCCTGTGAATGGTCACATGAAAGCTGAAATGGCAGCCTCAGGAAGGGATGAGGATCAGACATTTTAAATTCATTGATGAATAATGGAAATTATGAAGGGAAAAAATAGGTGAGAAGGAGAGAAAAAGATAATAGCACCAATTCTGAGTCAATTTTGCTTTTGGCAGTGAGTAGAAGCCTTTTTTTTTTTTTTTTTTAATGGATCACATGCACTTCATTTAAAGAAGAACTGGCATAGTGGGGACAACAGAAGAAGATGAGATCCCAGGAACTGACAAGGAATCATGAGGGGTGGGGTGAAGGGGTTATAGGAAGTAATATTCACTGAGCACCTACTGGGGGCCAGCACCCTTACGTTTCATTCAATTTTTCTATGGCCTTTCGCTTTAAGGGTTTTTATTCCTCTTAAAATGAGGAGACTGTGCTCATAACTACAGACCTGTTATATGTTGCTCTTCAGATTTGACCTTATGCCTTCTAATATATAATCCCCATCTCTCTCTGCCTTCTTTGGTAGGCTTAATAACCAAGCTAGGTTTTATGCAAAAGAACTGTTGTTTTTGCCACTGCTGGTTGTATATACATATAATCCTACTATGTACTGAATTGTAAATAAAATCTACTCATGCAAATTTCATATTATGCAGATTATGAACTGTAATTTTTCACACTGGAAGAAACCATTACTGTCTACCCTACTTTATCCTAAGCCTCAAAACAAACTGAAGCACTAAGCAGATAGAATTATGAAAGGGCATGGACTTACCAAGAAGACTGGTACTCTCTGCCCAGGTGGTACGGCTGAATCTGGTTTATACTGCTGTATTATGCCTGTACCTAGCTCTTCCAGAAGCTGCCAAAATAAAAGAAATAACTATCAGAGTTGAGCATTAGAATTGTGGAGGTTCTAAGCAAGTTTACTTCAGTTTAGAGATCACCTTAAATCAAGGAGAAAAACCAATTTCTAGCTGATTTTTCTTCTTTTCTCATTAACTCCTGTAACACAGACATTCCTTCAAAGAGCAAAATAACAGCTGTAGGTTGTGAATTTATTACTAAATCAGTTCTTCAGGTTCATAGGCAAGAGCTGAAAACAGACGAATGTAATGTCTTCCTTACCTGAAATCTCTTTAAGAAATCTCAGAAGAAAAATGCACATAGCTTTAATGGAATTACCTTTGCTCCATGAAGCTGAATGGATGGATCTGCTTCGCCCATGCACTTGCAAATCACCTCACCAAGTTCCATCAAGTAGACCTGAGCCATTGGAAAGTAGCCTCTGGCCAGGTGAGCCAATACCTAAAAGACAGCAGGAATTAATCCCAAGATTTGAATACACAAAAGTGTTCGAATACTTCAGAAATCATGCCCACTTAACAAAGGTTTGAAATCTAATGTTGAACTAAATGAAAAACAACCATAGCCTTTACCTTATGACTAACATCAATGAACAATCATAATTTTATGATACTTTACAGTTTGTTATTGTGTTTCCTTATTATCTCTCTCATATCTCTCATATCTCATATCTCTCTTGGAAGAACAACTCCTTGGAGTAAAGTAATAATTGAGCTCACGGAGGAAGGAATGAAAGCTGAGAAGGTTAAAGAAATGCTTAACGTTATCCAGATAATCAGCAGCAGCCTCTAGGACTAAGCTTAGACTACATCTGAGTACAGAAAAGCAAGTATTTTTTTAAAATTTAGGCTTGTTTTCTTCTGAAGGAACAGTTATTTTATCTGTATTAAGCAAATAAAAGACCTGACACAATTTATCAAAAACTAAACAAGCTGCAGAAATCAAAGATTAACTCTGTAATTCCTTTCCAAATTACTGTGCAATCATACCTAACTGTCATAAAGACCAGAGATGATTACAATAGCTTGCAAAAAAAAAAAAAAAAAAAAAAAAAAAAAGTGTGTGTGTGGGATGAATCTGGCATTTTACCCCTACCCCTAAGGAACAACCAAACCCCTCATGCTGCTGACGTTACTGACATGTGGCTTGGATTCCCACACCTTCCGTGTCCCCACTCCTCATAGCTGCCTTGTGAAGAAGGAACCCTCACCACGTTCAGAGTGGGAGACGCAGATGCCTACCTGTAAGGCCTCCAGTCGCATGGGAGAGGGTTCGTAGGTGCTGCCTGCCACAGGGCCAGTGTCGCTACTTGAGCAGGAATCCTCCCTGGGCAGCACGAGAATGGAAATGCAAAGCTGGATGAGCCAGCAGGGCTCTGAGACCCCCTTGGGAGAGCTCACTGCTGCTTCTTCCACAGAGGGTCCTGCTGGGGCTTTCTTCCACCACTCAGGAGTGCCGAGGTGAGGAGTTGCGGAGTTGCTATTGCTGAGTCCAGAAGTACAGGGCTGCTGAAGGAGGAGCTGGACTTCAGGTAAAGGGGCATGAGTGGACACGATAGCTCCCAAGAGTGTGAGACTTGACACACGAACATTAACGTCTGTGAAAACAAAGAGACCTTATCACGTGGGAACCACTGTCCAAGGATCACAGTTATCTCTGCAGGCAATTAAAAACTACTGAATTTCTAGCTCATAGGAAATAAATGAGGCAAATCATAAAGAAACAATCCAATAAATCAAAACACTGGAAATTTATTCTGTAAGACAACTGACTTGGACAGTTGCAAAGGATCAGTATTATAAAAAAGAAAAAGAAAAAAACCCACAGGTACTCAGAAGGCTGAGACAGGAGGATCCCAAGTTCAAGGACAGCCTGGGCAACTTAGTGAGATCTGTCTCAAAACAAAAAGGACTTGGGCTGGGGATTTAGCTCAGCGGCATAAGCACCTGCCTTGCAAGCAGGCGGTCGTGAGTTCGATCCCCAGTACCGACAAAAAACAAAAAGGACTGGGGATACACTCCTTGGTAGTACAGCTCCTCTGGATTCAGTCCCCAGTACTACCACTACACACCCACACAACGTGGGAGAAGACACCTGATTACAAAACTCTAAAGTGATGTAATAATTAAATGTAATACATGAACCTTCAATGAATCCAGAATTTTAAAACAGTGTAGGAAAAACGCTAAAAAGTCTGTGTCCAAGCTTTTTTTTTTCTCTTTTGCATGTGCATGTCTAGCTATTCCAAGACTGATTACTGTAGTTTTATAACAGATCTTGAAGTTGGGTAGCATCGGTCTTTTGAATTGTGCTCTTCTCTATCAGTACTGTGCTGGCCATTACAGGTCTTCTGCTTCTCCATATAAACTCTAAAATCAGTTTGTTGATACCCATAAAATAATTTGATGGGATTTGTACTAGGGTTTCACTGAACCTATAGTGGGGAAGAACTGATATTTTGACAGTACCGAGTCTTCCTATCTACAAACATGGATTGTCTTTCCATTTATTTGGTGCCTGATTTCTTTAATCAGTTTTATAGTCTTCATATAGATCTTATATGTATTGTTACATTTCTATTTGACTGTTTCAAGCTTTGAACATTTTAATAATAAAAAGTTACTAGAGAACAAAGTCAGATACTTGAAATAGTGCATTCCACTCAGTTAAACATACGAACACAGAAAAGCAGGTGCAGTAGAATGAACAGAGGATGGAGCTGGAGACCTGAGTTGTTTAAAGTTACTTCTGCCACTAATATGATGGAAAGCTAAAGGCAAGACTTGTTTCTGAGTCCTGTGAAATGGGTGGGCTGGACTTAGTTTGCACATCACTGTATCATGTGAGCCTCATAAACATCTCCTGGGATAGAGATAATTCTTCCAGTTAGGAGAAAACTAGGGGACAGGAGGGCCATGGCTATACGAGGGCAGTGATGGGAGCGGGCTGCAGACCCTCAGACTCACTCAGGTCCAGTATTCTTCTGCTCAAGTGGAAACATCCATACTTCCTTCTTCTGTAATTCTGAATGAAAACTTAGCTAATCAGAATGTGGTCTGACTTGACAGCTTTAAACAGAAGAAAAATAAATGCTAACAGTATATGTTTATAGCACACAGCTATTATGTGTGGCAGTAAGAGAGGAAATAAAAAATCAAAACTACGGTTAGGGAGGATTTGAAGTTTGGGGATTTATCTGAATTTCAGAGGAAACAATGTTAAAGAAGTTAGGTACTTTGTATTATAGTTTTTCTTCCCAAAAGAGGATGACATCTGCCTTTCCATCCATGCATCCATCACTCACCCACCTATGCATCCATCTTCTACCTATGCCTAAAAATAATAATTATAATACATTTGAGTTGGCCACATGTAATTGTTTTATTCCTAATTCTAAAGACACACTGGTCATTGCTGTGAAGAACTGAAGCAACATTAAATTATTTTTTTGTTAGTACCTGTTTGTAGTTCACAATGACTACATTTATTGAGGGGAGATGGTATGCACATTACACAGCTGCATTAAATTTTACAGGAGAATAGACTCTCTTCAGAGCTATGAAATGTTCTGAATCCTTTAAAAAAAGTTATTTTAGTTCATGAGCATATGTGTGTAGCATATAACATTTACATTCCTTGTGGGAAGTTGGTCCATCTTAACTCCTTTTTTCATTCCCTTTCTCTTCCTTCTCTTTCCCTTCCCCCAGCTCTTGATCTCCTTCCATTTTTCTTTTCTTTTTTTTTTTTTTTTGGTATATGTTTGCAATAAATGTTTATATTCCTTGTATATAGTTGGTACATCTACTTAACACATTCAAATTCCTTTTTTTATCCCCTACCCCTCTCCATCTCTTGATCTCTTTGGCTTTTCACAAAGATCTAAAATTTATTAATAACCTACATTTGATGTAAAAAGAAATTTGTTTAAAAAACACTACCAACCTTTGTGGCGAATATAAGGCTTTATCTGATTCCAGACTCTGGTCAGCAGGCTCAGTTTCAGGCGGTTATAAGGTGCATTTGATACTAAATTTGCAAGGCACTGTAAATCACACACATACACAAAAACAGCTTATCAATATTTCTGATTAACCCATTCTATAGAAACAAAATTTTATAGCATGTAATTTAAAAGGTCTTTATACTTAATGAAAATCAGTTCCTTTCTTTTAAAAAATAACAACTGTTTAAAAATACATTGGTATAACTTAATACTAAAACTAAAGAAGCATTTTTAGTAAAATAAAGAAACACCATTTATTTGGACATACAGAAATTACAGATTAGCTCAGACAAGTGGGTATGGACTTCCAAATAGGATATCTTTAGTAAAATTATTATTTATATTTTTAAGTCATTACTTTCAGGCTATGTAAAACATACAAAATTCAAACAAAGAGTGCTCCCAGGAACCACAGGCAGCTTAGAATATTTACCTTAATTATCTGGGTAAGGGTCTGTGATGATGACTCTGCCACCAAAGCTAACAAAAGACACCTGTGCAACTCTCTAATGCTGGAAGCGATCATTACGGAAACGGGAATAAAAGCCCTTTTGTGGTCACTGGTATCTTCAGCAACAGAAAGAAACTGCTTTGAGCCTTCTAATATGGCAGATAAAACTTGCAGCGCACAGGCACGTGTCTGAAATTTCAGGATGATTCATACAAGTTAGTTAAAAATTAAGAGGCAGATTTCCTTTCCTATATATAGTTTTCAAAGTATTCAGAATCAATGACCTTACTTAGGAGAAAAAAGACAGTGGGATTATTAGGTTCTGAAAACAGTCATGAACTAGGCTACTTGTACTCCATACATTAAAAAAAAAATCTTACATGCTGTTAGGTTTTCTTAAAGTAAGGAATAAGTCTAAGGTACATCATAGCATGAAAACCTGAAATCCTAAGCATAAGAATAAGGATCAGAGGCCAAGTTTATTCAAACCTAAGTCTAACAAAAAAGGTCATCATATTCCTTGTGGTGAGATTAAATATAATTGTATGATGAAACAGTTTTGGAAAAGTACACTGTTGTCATGGACTGCTATGTCAGGAAACATGTCACAGCATTAAGGTTTTCTTTATAAGGTTCACTTTCAGTTGGTATGCAGATGATTTTCTGACACTAAGAATCAGAAATGAATAAAGAAATGAAAAGAAAGTAAATTTAAGCTGGATGTGGTAGTGCATGCCTATAATTCCAGCACTGCAGAGGCTGAGGCAGGGGGATTGCTGAATTCAAGGCCAGCCCGAATTGCATAGTAAGACCCTGTCTCAAAAAGACAATAAATAAAAAGTCAATTTGGCTAAATTTGAATTGGAATACAGGTAATAAATGCAGGACTCTAAATATGGAATATGGTACCCTCTTTGGCCAACTCACCCCTAAATGCCAATAAAACACCATCAGGTCAGAGGTTTCCAAAGCAGGGAATGAATTTTACAATTCCACAATCTAATTAAAATATTTACTCAATATGAAGATTGTGGATTTTTACTTTATATGGTTTTGTATGGTTTTCCAGAAAGCCTATAACCATATTACCTCCCCTCCAAAAAACCAAGCAATGAATCATTTCTACGGGCCTTCTGTGCAGTGGACTCAGCAATGTACTCATCTTAACATAAGTGTGTAGTACATCACAAGAGTCTGCGGAATGAAGCAGGATTATTTAGTTAGGAAGTTGACAATGCTTCAGAAACTCATGTGTGGGGAGTGAGACTATGAACACAGCTCACCCAGGAATCCAGCTGGGACTGGAAAACTTGTTCTGTACAGCGCCAATCATACATGTTTTATGGCTTAGACCTTGCAGGACAGAATCTCTGTCAGGACCACTCTCTCTGCTCTGGGAATACAGACACTATGTAAAGGAATAAATACAGCTGAACTGCACCACAACTTCGCTTATGAATAATGGAATCTGAAATTCATATAATTTTCACCTACCAGGAGATTTATTATTTGATACATACAAAACCATATAAAATATAAGTAATTAAAAGCTATAACTTCAACAGCTCACAGACCAAATAAAATTAAAGATCAGGTTGTGGAAAGAAATGAACTGATTTTGAAAAAGTAAAAAAAAAAAAACATAAAAATAAAAATAAATAAATAAGTTCAATTAACTTTGGTATCCTAAGGAAGAAAACACTCATGAAAATCACAGATGAAAACAAAAGAAATGACACTAAAATTGGTTATTTTTTCCCATATGGTATATAATCTATATAGAAATTTGATATTATACCAAGTTATACTTCTCATATTTCTGAGTTAATTTCAATACGTCTTAATGTCTTTATTATAAAATTACTTATGATACTGAACCTTGTTCATGTTCTGCTTCATTTATTCTTACATCAGTATTTAATATCCTGCTCACAAGTTCTAAATTACTGATGCGCTAGCAAATCATAATAGGTACAACTCCCAGAAAGCTTAGTTTGTTAAATTTTATTGACTGAATTTTGTTTTGTACTAGGGACAGAACTCACAACTACGTGCTTACAAGGCAGGTGCTTATGCCGCTGGGCTAAATCCCCAGCCCCATCATCACAGGAATTCTTTTGTGTATAATTAAGGCTGTCTTAAGCTTCTGAAGGGCATCTACGAGTTTTCTTATCTATTCAAGAAGGTGACAAGGGGTGCTTCAATGTATTATGAACACTAAGAAAGCCAGAGTTACAGCATCTTGTAACAGATATCTTGTTGTAGATATCTATGACTGCCAACCATTTCTTCATTTTTTAAAAAAATATTTTTTCTCATTAAAACATGCAAATATCCATTATATATAATTTTAAAAAATATAGAAAAACTGAAAGAAAAAGTCATTGGGATCCTACTGTATATACTATTTATACCCTGAGCTTAACAAAATACTATGAGAATTTTTCTAAGCTGTGTACATCCTTTATGTCCATTATGGACCATAATATTTCACTGAATTTCTGAAACCATCTGCATTTTTTTTTCTATTATAAATACAACAGCCATCAATATTTTTGTGGGAAAGGAAGCACAGCAGTGGAGCTCAAAGGAGACATCAAAGTTGTAAATCAGTGTGCTCAAGCAAGCCTTGGACCAGATTCCTCTATGGAATCCCTCTCATTCTGTTAGTCACGGAAGCCCATTTCTTCCTGCCTGTCCAGTGGTTCTCAGGTGAGGACCTGAGTTAGTATTAATATGAACAGATACATCAGATAGGGCAGGGAAAAGAAATGGAGACATGGTAACTTTCCCTTCCCAAAAGAAAGCTTACAATGGAAATGCTCTTACCTTTGGAGAAGGATCTTTTAAGGTCAGTGTAATTAAGGACACAGATTGTGGGCTTCCAACCTCTGGCGTGTCAGGAACAAAGGCTGACCAGTAGCCATAAAGAACTTTTTTTTCTATTGACTTTATTGTAGAAAGAAAACAAGCTAATGCTCCTTGGCGAACTTTGGCTTGGTATGACCTTTTACAAAATAAGAAGGAAAAAGGTTTTCAGCAGTTTTTAAAAAAATGTAGGGCTGGGGATATAGCTCAGTGGTAGAGTACTTGCCTAGCATGTACAAGGCCCTCAGTTCAGTTCCAATACCACACACACACACACACACACACACACACACACACACACACACACAACAACCCAACAAAAAAACCTATAAAATGCTATTTATTCGTGCAAATTCAAAAGATAAATTGAAAAATTAAGCTTTCTGAATAATCCTTAAAGATGTTAATGTGATATTAAAATTAAAAAAAATCAAAACATGTTAAGGCAGTTTGCTTAATAACAAGGTATTAAGGCAGACCAAAATTAAGCTTTCTGAATAATCCTTAAAGATGTTAATGTGATATTAAAATTAAAAAAAATCAAAACATGTTAAGGCAGTTTGCTTAATAACAAGGTATTAAGGCAGACCAAAAACACAAGTAGAGAGAGAATAAGAGGGTAATATTTTGATATTAGGAAACTAGTGTTAGACATTAAACAATGTGGAGTCTCTACCCATTCATTCAAAATATAGCCCAAGTGAGTTTATAGGCCTGTGCCAGGCATTATGCTGAAGCAGGCAGGCATCAACAAAGCCTTTGCCCTTGATAAATTTGTTAATGGCAGTGAGTGATAAGATAAATAGATAACTACAACACATTGCAAATAACACCAGGGCAGAGTGAAGTCAAAGGGTCATATAGAAGGGCACCTAATCAGAACTGGGAAAGGGAGAATGGAAAAAGTTTCCCAGAGAATATGCTCTCTTAGCTCTTATCAAAGATGAATAGTGGTTAACAAGACAAAAATGCAAAAAAAAAAAAAAAAAAAAAAAATAGGGATGGAAACACTATTCTAGGGACAGCAATAACCTGGCCAAAGGTAAATCAAAAGAGCAAGGCATTTTCAGAGTAACACAAAACTTCATTCAAATGAGAATCTTCAATTACATGCAATGGTCATGTTTTTAAGCAAAGGTAAACTCACATGCAACTAAAATACAAGGTATAAAAATATAACAAAATACTACTACCTCACTTTACCCTGCATGCTTCCTTCTGCATCAGAATAGTCCGATTCACTACTGCTAACTCTCTTCCAACTGGAAGACCTGAAAGGGGAGGAGACTTGGGCTCTTCCAGAAGTTCCGCTCTCATTTCTAGGTAAACTCTGGACACCCACAGAGGAGGGACACTGGGTGCTTCCTTCGCACATGTTCCTGCTGCCTGTGCCAGTGCCTACAGCTGCTTCTGCTTCATCATTGGATTCTTCTTCCTCCTCCTCTCCTTGCAGGATTTTCTTTGGTTTTACCTTGGATTTTTTCTTTTTATTCTGATTTTAGGAGCAAATAAAGATATATATACATATGATAGATATTGATAGCTATTTCAAAAGGTTTTCAACTGAATCATTGCTACTACACCTCATTTGAAGGTAACTAAATTATGTTCTCAACACATAATTTGAAGGAAAAAAGAAAAAAGTGGCATTTACTCAATAGCATTTCTATCAGGCACAATGTTCAGTGTTTACATACATCATTCAGCACTGGAAGAAATGAGACAAGAAGTCTACTGGACAGACCAGGTTTAAATTCTGCCTCTGTGACGGGGCAAATCATGTAGCCTCTCTGGGCTGGACCTCCCTCATGTGTACTACCTATCTTGCATAGATGTAGTGAAATCATTCAGCTGTCATAACTAGAGAGAATCAAAGCCTATGGAAAGCAACTTGAGTATTTCCTCAATTTTTCCAATTAAGATACATAGCAATACTCTAGGTGCATGTACACAGAACTGTGATCCTTTACATCTAATGCATGTCTTTGGATCCTGAGGTTACATCAGCATAGATATTTAGTAAATGCCAGTTTCTTTTTCCCTACTTCCTTCTGATATTCAAGTATCTCTGGAATCTGTGCTTTTCTCTGTATGCTCAAAGTCCCTTGCCTTGAGGACAACAGCCTTCATCCTTTCTACTTTGGACTATTTACTGAGGGTCAGACTAATTTTCTTTTGTTGTGCTTACTACTAATGTAGTTTTTCAAAGATGCAAATCTGATCACACCATTCTGCTAATTTCTAATTTTTAAGCATTTATTTTTTTTTATTTAAAAGGAAAAAGAGAAAAAAAAGCAGAACAAAACAAAACAGTGTAAGGGTACAAGTAATTCAGAACTATAAAAAAAAAAAAAACAAACAGTAAGCTATCACCAGTTAATAGATTACACGCTATCATCTTAGAAATGGTGTTTCAGGTCACAGGATCAAAGCATACAAAGTGAACATTCAAACAGTGAGACCGCAAATAGTTGTGTTCAGTAATCCAATCAAAAATATTAATATGGTCTTCTAACTTCTAAGCATTTTTAACTGGGTATTAAATTTCTGGATATAAAATTTATACATCTACATGAACATATCTGTATGTGCCATATTCTCTAATCAAAACACGAGGGAGATGGTAGCTATCTGAAAGGCTGGGGAATCTGGTGAATGGGAAGAGTATGGACGGAGTGAGCTGACTGATAGGTGAGCTTTTAATAACCTTGAGAGATGCTGGTGAATTATGGGTAAGGCCAAATTCAGCCCAGTTCATAGTCTGCTTCTGTAAATAAAATTTTAATGGAAGATAGCTATGCCTATGCACCGCCATATATCTATGGCTGCCTTTGTACTACGATGACAGAGACCTAAGGTATTAACCAGACACCCCTTTATAGAAAGACTGAGTCAATTCTTGGTTTTAATCTTTTAGCAATGAGGATGCTTGGCTTTGGAGATACAGCAAATGCTCATTTTTGTAGCTGTTATAGTACCAAGACTTCTTGTTTAACTGGTATTTTCTTTTTTTTTGTACCGGGATTGAACTCACAACCTCCTGCTTGCCAGGCAGGTGCTTAAGCTGCTGAGCTAAATTCCTAGCCCTTTAACTGATATTTTCAACAATCTTGGTAAATTTAAATTTACTAAATACCCTAAATTGATATCAAATTCAAGGTGAGTTTTTGGGGTTATAATGATGCCCCTGGAGCAAGCAAGTAACTCAAAACAATTCATAGCTTAAATCTAAGCAGACATAAATGTACCGCAGTTGGTCGGGAAGCACTCAGTTCGGACTGCTGTGGTTTGACAGGTGGTCGCCCATCATACTGAGGAAGTGGAGTTGGGTAAAGCACTATGGGCATCTCTATGTTTAGTCCAGGGAGTCCATGAAACATGGTTTTCTAACAATGAAGAATAAGGAAACACATCCAACACATTCAGTCACAGAACTATTTACCATACCATTAATCACAATGCAAATACATGTATATTTAAAAGATGACTAAAGTATAAAAATGGGACAGAAAATAGATTCTTTGAAGGTTTAGGGTTTAAAATGAGCTTAATCTCATTTAAGTTGCCTCTGCTTTAGCCACATCCAAATAGTTCTGATTTTAGTGCATTATTTAACTTAGCCAATCATTTTAATGGATATTTTATCTGTCTATAATTTTTAAAACTAATTTATCAGTTTTATTTTGTTATCTAGTTCTTCATCTAGCTATCTGTCTCTATTTTATTAGTGATTAAGAGAATGGTATAGGAAAAAAAATTAAATTTTGGTCAGAATAAAGTCAGACTGTCAGATATGGCACTGACCTGAGGCCATTAAAAAACTTGCTCCTCCTTCCTAGCTGAACTCAAGACAGCTGGGTGCCCAGAGAGGTAACCTGGCTTTTCTGCTGTCTGGCTGGCTCAGACAGCAAGAGTAGCCGGATGATAAGCCTCTTTATGGGCTGCCAACTACAGGGAGAAGCTTGCTAAGGCAAAGCCCTGGCTCTTCTTTCAAATACAAACAGTAAGAGCAGGTTCAAAATAATCTATAATTAAATTACTTATAAATCCTGTCACATAACCTATTTCCTCCTAAGATTCAAAGATACTGTAATTTTACAATTTTGATACATTTATTTAATCAAAGTTGTTTTCTCTTTTTAACTATGCCTGAATATGAACATTTTATTCTGTTTTCTTTTAAAATATATATATATGAACTTTTAATACATTAAAGTTAGCCTCAGAGCAGTGACATAAACAGGTTCTCAAGCCTGGAATTTACACAGCAAAATTACTACCATAGAGATAACTTGCCTTACCTTCAGCACAGCTAAAAGAGCTCCAAGTTCATCAGTCTGTGTCAGCTTCATTTTCCCACCATTTAGAAGTGATTGTATGCCCTTTAATGCATTCTGTAACAACTGGTGAGAAAAGAATCCAAAATTAGAAGACAGCATAAAATTTAATTATTATGAAGTCAACATTTTGGCACCACTTAGGATGGAAGAGAAAAAAAAATCTCTAAATGATGGAAAAATACTTTAGAAACATAGTCACATAGCAGAGACAAAGATCCAGAGAACAGACCTGAAAAACCACTGAGTTATTTTCTAAAGAAAATAGTACTCTTATCAAATGGTCTTATTGTTCTTCCTTAAAAACCAGTATGTACAAAATGGTGAGCAAGGAGAGAGAGAGAGAGAGAGAGAGAGAGAGAGAGAGAGAGAGAGAGAGACAGACAGAGACAGAGAGAGGGAATGAAAAAGTGGTAGCATAGAAATAGTGGTAGATCAGAAATGAGAAAGCTGTAATATGGCAAAGCACGGCTATGGGAACACATAATAAATGACAGAAATATAATTTCTAGAGGGCTATTCTCATCAAGATTTCTTAGCTCAGTAATCTCATGTCCAGGTCTTTGTCTTTCAGAAATACCCTCCACAGGGGAGGATATGAACTGTATGTAGCCTTATTTGAAATGGTGGAAAAATGAAAAAAAAAAAGTCACTTTTCATTAAAAGAATTATTTTTTTGAGGCCAGGTCTTGCTGTTTCAGGGTGGCCTTGAACTCAGTATGTGGCTCAGGCTGGCTCTGAACTCAAGGTGATTCGCCTGCCTCCTGCCTCGGGGGATTACAGGTGTGTACCACCACGTCTACCCAATTTTCATCAGTTATAATGATTACCACACTGATGATGCAACAAACCCTCTGCTACATGTAAAACTACTACTTCATCAAACACTTTAAGTGCTTTATTTGCAATAGTATTTCTCAAAAGAACCCTACAAAGCAGTTGTATCCCATTTCCAAAAGGAACATGGAGGCTCCAAAATGATAAATAATTGCACAAGGTCTCCCAGATACCTCAGTTAGAAAATGTAAGATATTCTAATGGGTATTAAAAAGCTGTCCAAAAGACATTAAGATTTAAAAATCTAGAAAGCTGCAGAAAAGTGCACTAAATATGATTCAACTTAAAAATGATACATATACCCATTTGTATACGGAAAAAAAATCTGAGGAACCATGGAACAAATCGTCTCCAGGAGTTGCATCTGAGAAGGGGACTACAAAACAATTTCACCATCTTGTATCTTTAATGTTTGAAATGCGTCACTGAATTTGAAACATGTTCATAAATTGTCACATATGTGTCAGATATAAAAAAGAAATAAAATTGTGATATTGAAATCCACTTTCTTCCTAGTCAGTTTAAAGTAAGTTACCACCTGAAAATTTTATTGTTTTTATACTCAAGAGGAAAAATAATAGTTTTGTCTTAAAATATAGAATGGTAAAACAACCCCAAAGCAAAACAAAACAAATAAAAATAGTTTCTGGTAATTTAAACCTAAGAATTCAGTCTTCTGGCTTATAAACATTCTACACAAGAATAAACACCTCTACACAAAACTAACATAGCAGCAAAATTAAACTCTTTGATAATAAACTTCTGCTCTACTCCTGCTTTGAGACACACTGCAACAATCAGTGATAGTCCTACCTACCATACAGTATATTATATCATCCATCTCAGATGGTTTTGAAGACTGTAAAATGGTCAAGAAAGCTTTGAAGCAAATATTTTGGTAGCTCTCCTCCAAATATGGCTGTCCTGGCACACTAGAACACAAACAAGAAACAACTGAAAAGTCTCTTGAATTGGCACTTGCAAATGAATAAGAATCAACAGTAATACAGTAATACTAATGGAGTTAGAACACCCCTTCAAATGCAACTGCCCTATGGAAAGCTGCACTTTGGCTAATTAGATATTGCTGTGAGACATGTACAGCCTTGAATAGATATGAAGAAGGAAGAGTTGTTTCTATGAGAAAAGTTATAGAAGTTTGAGAAGTAGAAGAAGAATGCAGAAAAAGAAGTATCTAGGCATATTCCCAGAACTGAAAGCATCATACCACAGTGATATATGTGCACCCATGTTTATAGCAGCATAATTTGTAATAGCCAGATCTTGGAAACAACCTAAGTGTCCATCAACTGAGGAATGGATGCAAAAGTTGTGGTAATTTTATACAATGGAGTACTACTCAGCTATAAAGAATGATCACATTGAGATATTTATAAATAAGTGGGCACAGCTTGAGACCACACTCATAAGTGAAATAAACCAAACTCACATGTATAAATACCGAATAGTTTCCCTAGTGTAAGAAATGGTAAGAATACATAAAAGTATGTGGTAATCATGACTCCCCATTATATTGTTTTGAAGCCTTATAATGAAAATTCATTAATTGGAATGGTTTTATTCAGGGGTGTTTGATTTTATTGTCTGTAATGGTATGATCAGTTATTTTGAAGAAAACAAGACATTATATTAGCTACTGCTCATTTAATATCAGCTTGTTTTGAAATCCCTTTTGTTCTTCTCCATTGGTTTTATCATGTTGTATCTTATTGGATTTTATTATATGTTATAGTACAAACAAAATTTTTTATAGTCAAAGAGATAATACAGAAACCGTTGTTCATTTTCTGTTAGTTGGTTCTAGATACCCCGTAATATTTTTACCCTCTTGAATGGTTTTACACTGTCTTGTTATGTTTGATAGATTATGAAGGCATACTCAAATATTTCAAGGAAAGAGACACTATGGTAACTACTGTTATGTCAGGTTATCCTGTGGTGAAACACTATGTTGCTTAAATTGCTCTGTTCTGAACTGTGTTGTTATGTTCTCTTTCATCTTAATCTCCCCCTTTTTAAACATATTTTTTTAAATAAAAAAAAATATATAGAAATGATAAAAAAAAAAGTTGGTGGAGATGTTCGGTTTGGTTTTTTACTTCTGTGTACATGATAGTCCAATAAAAACTGGGGGGAAAGATAAGTAGAACTGTAATTTCTGACACACCTCATTCAACAATCACTATTGCTAGAGAAAAATAGACCGTCTCCCGGATATGATACTGTATTTGTTAAAATACATTATTCTGTGAATTCAAGTGAGGTGTGAAAAATGTTTTCGATTGCTACACAGAAAGACTGTATTTGCTAGGAAGAGCTAGAGTAAAAATAAATTTCACATTTGGTTTAAAAAAAAAAAAAAGAAGTCTCTTATAGTTCTGCTTTCCAGTTCCACCAGGGAAATATATGAACAGGTCCTGTTGAGTTAGAATTATATGACTGAATCTGTCTTCTTAGCTACTGGATGACACTAAACTATGCAGAGACAAGCTCAGGTTTGTGGTACTCGCAACCTCTTATATGTAACAGGCTGGTTCCATTCTCTTAAAAGAGAAGGAAGTGGCCTTGACAGATAAAGCACAGCAGAGTTTAAATTCAAATGAACATAGCTTCCTCAAAGACTTACTATGACTAGAATTTATACCGATAGAAAACAAAAAAAACTTGCCATCAGTGCACATACACTTTTAGCATATACTTTTTCCTCTTTCCTTACAAGCTTTCTTGAAAACAAACAATATAAGACAACTTAACAGAACACGGGTTATTAGTTTTTATGTTAGCTCTGGTTTCAGATAGATGGAACAATCTACACAGGGCCTAGGAAAGGTTTTGTCTTATTACTACTGCGTAACCTGACTGGACCCACATACCTGAGACATAAGTTTGCCATACAATGCACTGCAGCTCTCCTGACTTCAGGGTCAGACTGAGTCAAGTCACTCATCTTCAGCAAGAGGCCAGTCTTACCTAGCAAGTCCGGGAGAAACTAAAACAAAGTAACAGTCACTGTTGGTCTAAGGAAAGCTCCTAGGAAAATAGATTTTATTTTCTTTTAACCAGAAGGACTAGCTATTAGGCAAATCTCTCAGCTAAGTATGCGAAGATATGCCAAAAAATATGAGTAAGCATTATTACTGGGTAGTTGCCGAAACTCCTTAGTTTTGGCTGCATGATGATGAACAACAATGACAACCACAATAATAGTTATGCAGTGTCAAGCACTTTACAAGCGCTGTCCCACTATGTTCTCAGAGCACCTATTTTACACATGAGGAAACACATCTCTGGAGGATTCTGAGGACAGCTCATGGTCACACATCCAATTAGTAGAAGGCCAGATTCCTTAACATAGGTGTCTGGACTCTTGAGTCTGTGCTTGTCTTTCAAAGGAAAGGCCGAGTGTGGTTTAAGCTACCTTTTGACAGTTTGAGCCATTGTAGTAAACCAGAGCTGCGAGGGCTTGAAGAATTTCCATGTGTGTCCACGAACTACACTGCTGAATAGCTGAAATAGTATACGACAACAAGAAATCCAAGTTCTGTTCATCAACAATCACCTATTGACAGAGGAAAATACAGATGCTCTAACTTTAAAAGAACATTTTCATCCTTTTATACATATTTATGCTCCCCTGGATCAAGCTGTGTGAGTGCATAGCAATCTTTTATTATATGTGTCAAAAAAGATCACTTGTAAAGATTCAACAGTTTACCAAGATAAAGACTTCTCCTTGTCCACAGTCTTAGTCATTTAGTCCCTTTAATCTCTCCACTCAAAGCAGAGCCTGGTAAAGTCCTTGACTAACTTTTCCTTGAACTAAACAGATGCTGACACAAGATAATCTTAATTCAATTGAACTGTCTTATACAGAGTAAGCACTCAAAAAATACACAGTAAATAAACGTATTTGCTTAATAGCTACGGTGTCTCTAGCTTGGTGGCAGGAATACAAGAAGCGATGTATATTCCTGTCCTAATGGAGTTCACAATCATTTTGGGATAAATTAGGGTAATTTAAATTTCAATTTATGGATATTTGAGATAAAATGTTATCAAACAGTAGAAATCTCCCCATAGGTTGAAGGTGCCATGGATGGTCAGTGTTACAAAGATGACACAACTGAGAATAGTAAATGTTCAGAAGCCATCTCACATCAGTTCTAAATGGTCTACAGTTGAAAATACTTTTATGTCACAGTGTAGACACTGTTGGTTAACTATCAGCCTCCATCTTCTCTGATGACATGGTTCTAATTTCATCTAGATGCCCACCTACATGAGACCCACAGGAAAATCCTAATTGCCAGGGGCAATCTGGATCCCCAGAGAATATCTGAAAATAGCCATAGACATTTTAATTGTTGCGACTGGAAGGGTACTACTAGCATCTAGGGAATATATACTAAAGATGCTGCTAAACATATTATAATGCACTGGATCATTACAGCAAACGAAGTATTTGATCTAAAATATTAGGAGTCCAGAGGGTGAGAAACCCTGCAGTAAGCCCATTTTAGCTGTACACTGCAATCATTTAGGAAGTGCAAGCCCTCTAGGTGATTTTAATGTGCAGTCAATTTGAAACCACTGGTTTGGGGGGGTGAGGGGTAGCTCAGTGTTAGAGAGCCAGTTAGCATGTATGAGGCTATAGGTTTAATTCCCAACACTGACACCAAACCAGATCACTATTTTAAGTCACTCATGGGAAGACCATTCACGTCTTTTGAGACAGGGTTAGAGAGTTGTTCATATGATTAGCACTCCAATAAGACATCAGGAGAATTTGCTGGAGAAATTATGGGTCAAGTTTGCTCACTGTTAAATACAAGAGAAAATTAACCAGTCTTTTGGCTTCTATTGAATGTTAGTTATTTTGCATGGGATGTCTAGAATTAGCTAGTCATTTTATGAATGTGTGAGAAGCTGACAGAATGGAAAGACACCAGTAAGCCTGTTATTCTAAAGGGATTGTAGAGCTGCCTTCCTTGGGACTTATGACCTGGAATAATTCCCCTTTTGGTTTTTCATTGTTTAGGTATTCTGGGCTGGCTTTTCTGGTTCTCATAACCCAAAGCACACTATTGACAAAATACTAATTGATATATTTTGTACTCTTTACATTCTGGAGTACTGTAATTCTACAGGAAGGGATTTGTTTAGCAAGTTGGAAAACCTTATAAAGGGAGCTGTAGTACATGTCTTGATATAAATAACTGGTGACTTTGTATCCTAGTATCCCCTTGCCCTCAGGTTTCTACTTAAGTTCTGCATAAGGGAAACAGATGACAAAAATGACAGCTTCAGCAAAGGGGGAAAGTATTAGTGGGAAAGAAGTAGGGGTCATTTTAACTTATTGAAACATATATGGATCAACTATGTCTTCAATGAAAAACAATCCAGGGAACCTGAAAGACATTACTTTATTGACTCAGACAGAAACACTTCTAACTGGCAAATTTCTGGAATTCTACAGAATGTCAGATTTAACATCATTTTTGTTAGGGTATTAGCTTTTCCTACCATCTCAAAAGACCAGTCTATGATATCTACGACAGATGTTATTTCAAAGGCATGTAATTATTCTCAAAGTTCATCATTTGAACCCTAAAGTTACATGAATTACCTGTAATCTGTTAAGTAAATGATGGATCAGCTTAGATACTTTGCTCACAAGATGATTCTGATTAGGAGGCACCAGTCGGCAAGCTTGAACAAGAAGAGCACTGACATCCTACCAAAAAAATAAGACAAAGCAAAAATAACACTTAGTAGCCACGTAAAGACACCCAGAGCACAGCAAAAAAGGAATATTAAAGTGGAGAGTCACACATAATGGGGAAAATGATATCTGAATGAAATTTGAGGGAGCAAATCAAATAATAGTACAAAAAAAAAAAGGATGTGCGAAAAATCAACATGGTTTTTGTCAGGCTAAAGATTTCAGAGTTTCTGCTATATACAGACAGTATAATGAAATAATCAAAGAAAAACTTCCAGCATATAAAAGCACACACTGAAGTTAAAACACTAAAAAAACAAGCAAACTTGATTCTAGAAACTGGGAAAATCAGAAATGACACTTTCATGAATTTTATGTGAAATTAAAAAATTATTAAAAAAAAAAAAAGAACAGAAGAACCTGTTTGCAAATCACACCCTTCATCCATTGATGTTTACAGAATAAAAAGGCATTCACCACATATGATGGGCTCTAAAGGTGAAGCAAACATTTTCCTGATCCTCAAAGAGATCACAATCTAATGAAGGAATAAGAAATATACTTGTATCAACTAAATTAAGGGCCAAAAGAATTAAGTACAAACTCAGTGGGAAAAGTATAATTAAGGAGGCCTTATGGAGGTGATTCTGAAGCAGAATCTGGAATGATTTAAAGAATAGAGTTCTGCCAGACAAGGCATCGAAAAACACTGTAAGCAAAAGGAATGGGCAAAGATTTGGAGATGTGCAACACCAGCAAGTGTTTGAAAAGCAGCAAGGTTCAAATGACTGCACGTGGGACACAAAAGGGGAAGACCCGAAAAACACAATTTATTTACAAAAATATCAAAGTATACCAATTAATCAAAAGTTCTTTCTTCCTTAATCCCACTCTGCTTCCTAGAGAAGCAGACTATTTCTGTTGTTGTTAAGAACTCTTGCGAATCTCATTAAAATTATATTTGTACATGTGTATATATACATATATATTATTTAAAACCCCACCTTCCTTAAGCCCCATATTTGTCTCATATTGTATGAATTTTTCTGTAACTTGTTTCAGTATTTACCAATATGCATTTAAGATCTTTACAATATCTGATTTCTACTTTTATAGCCAGTTTTTATTTCTATTTTTTTTAAACCACAGAAAAGATTAGTCTGGCAGCACAGCAAAGAATAGTATGGAAAACAGCTGAGCTGGAGGAAGGAGATATGGAGAGGAGATCAGTGAAAAGGTCAGGAAAGTCATCTAGCTTAAGGCACTGGAGAGGGGAAAAGGAGCATGTGGACTAAGAAACATGTTTGAGACAGACTCTGAAGTTTCTGGACTGGATAGGCCCTGGGATAAAGAAAGGGAAAGAAAGATTTGTGTCTGTGTGACTTGGTGGACTGAACACGTTCTTGTTGGAGGGAAGGATGGACTGGGGGTAGGAGTGTCTGAAGACAAAGTATTCATCATTAAGAACTGTCAAGTTTGAGATGCCTGTGAGCACAGGAGACCACGGTACTGACTGGCTCAAGAATTCAGGAATTAGGAAGTGGTATCCAAGGCCTTAACGCGTATGAAAAAAAACCTGCTCAGTGAAAACAACTTATAACGAGGAGGCAGAGAAGGGATAGGCTGGCGTGGAAGAACGGAAAATACAGGGACTTTGTGTGACAAACCTTAGGCTTCAATTCTAGCTCTGCTCCTTGCCAGCAGTGTGCCACCCATCAGATCTTACGAGCTTGAGTATCTTTTATCCGCGAAAACACCTGGGAATATCCGCGTTCTAAGGTTGCTGAAGCTGTTCACGGTAAAGTGCAGTACTGCATAAGCAATAATAATGAATAGTATGTAGGAAAGTGCCGGATGCACAGAAAAGAAGTGGAGGGTAGGAACAGGGCAGCGTACCAAAAATGACAGCTATGATGTTGGAGCAAGTGTTTAAGTTGGGTTTTGAAAGTTTCGATCGAGTTCGCTGCAATCTTTCAGATGCAGGAAGGAACCAGCCAACCAGGAATTAAGTCGCTGGGACGGGATGGGGAACACCCCGGAAAGACTGATAGGAGCTACAAGCCAGATTCCCAGCAGGATGGAGACTGGGCAGCCGGCGCGCCGCCTACCTCAGGGGCCACGCCGCCGCCCTCGCGGTAGTTCTCCGAGATGAGCTGGTCGAAGAGCAGGTGGATTTCAGTGCGGCAGGAGCTGCTGTCATCTGGGCGCAGTGCGCGGAGCCTGGCAGACAAGCGGTAGAACCCACCGCCGGGCTCAGGGGGCGGCTCCCGCGGCGAGTCCCTAGGCTGGCTGCAAAGCAGCGAGCCGGCAGCTTGCACCGCTGCCATTTTTCCTACGGGAAATACTTCCGGGGCATTCACTGATCCCGCGCTCTAGTTCCGGAAATACTTTATTGTACCACAAGCGGAAGCAAACAATTTCCCCGACTAATAGTCCTCATCCTGGGGTATTGCGAAGGAGCAGGGAAACGTTCAGCGGACTGCGTCTCTGAGCACTGACTGAAAAGTGGAGTGGAGGCTTCATGGGCAGGGCTAACTCTAATACTATGTAAAGTAGTAGAGTTTCAGATTTCGGCCGGAGTTGGAAAGGGGCTGCTGTGGATGACAATGGCAATTGTCTGACATCTCTTCTTTCCTCCTAATGGAGCCCCTGATTGTTCTCCAAGTACAGAAGGACCTTGAACAAAGGCTCCGTGACCCATGATTCCTTGCACTTGACTTGATGATTACAATCTGGCTAATGAAATATAGACAGCTTTCTAATATATTCATGACAAGGTGCCTGTGTTCTTAATTCCCTTTTCTCTCATTTCGCAGTGTGAATGCTGAGAATCATGGAGCACCTCTCTCCACTAGAAAAGTAATTTTAGAATTCAAACTAAACCCTGTAAATTATAACTTGCACTAAGACTGAGCTGATTGGTATTTGACATCCAAGATTTTCTGAAACTTAAGACGCTAGAAAATCAAATAGCCATTAGAATGCTGTGGTTAATTATATTGAGGCAGACTGGGAAACTCTCTAGGACCTTTGAGTTCCTCAGATACAGTGAAAATTCCCACCTCTATTTCCTAGGGAAACCTTGAGATTATCTGATTATGTGTTTTACCATGAAAATAAAACACTGTTTAGCAGTGAAAATTGGACTATATTTTAGGAGAGCTAGTTGTTTGAAAACTTTGGACTTCTTTGTGGAGAATTTTTTTATTTGGATTTAATTCCATTATGTTTGTAGCTACTATTGTTATTGGAATATGTGTATTTATGTGCATATATGTGAGAGTATTCAGTGTTCATGCATTTGTCTAAGAAGATCAAAAGGTGAAACCTAGTCAGTGTATGTTTTAGTTGGAGTTCTCTGAAAGTAGAGCTTCAGGTGTAGTTGGTATGTGAATAATTTATTCAGGAATGAACAGGGAAAGAAGGAGAATCAATAGTAATTTGTGCTCTTGAGTTGGCTATTGCAAGGGGTGACTCTTCAGTCTTAGGGAGTTTCCTGGGAAACTATGGAATGTTCTCAGAACCCTCTCCTAAGGAATAAAAGGGAGAAGTGTATCTGTCAGCTTTTGACCTTTACTGCCAATGGTTACCTCAGCTGGGATCAATTCTCTGGTTCGGCATGCATCATTGTGCAGGATTTCCTCTAGGAGTCCCCTGATGCACGATCAAAGAAACCATGAGTCCAAAGTGAGGTGTTTGGAATACAAGTGCACATGTGTAAAACAAGGCCCTGGCAAGTTTCATCTGTGCTAAGCTAGTAGGTATCTGAGATAAACTGGTTGTCATAACAATAGTTCAAAGAATCTAAGACTAACTATTTGAAGCAGTGTTTAAGAGATGTTCAGCATTTTAGACTAGAAGAACATGAGGCCTGGAGGAATGGAGGAAGTGTGAGGGCACTATGAGAAGAATCTGGATTTAATGTGGTTCATTGTAGGTTGCAATATAGATGAGCCACGTGTAATGTTATTTGAGAAACCAGATGACCCAGGTATATGTCAAGTAAGTATAATGAGGGCCATCTGTTGAGTTGTGATAGGATATATCTTCGTGAATGACAGTATGCTTCCTTTGAGAAAATGAGTGTTTCTATTATGTGGTGATCACTAACTAAAGGAAAAATATATCAATTTTCCAGGAGAAGTCTTTGAAGTTGCCTTATCTTAAATTAGATAGCAATATCTCCCATACCCATTTTCCACCCTAAGACTGTGAAAACTTATAGGATGGCAAAAACTTTTTTCCAAGAAAATCTCCTCATACACCCTCAATCCTCAGTGTTCCTCATGTTCAATATTTCAGTTGTCAGATAGTGATGAGAGGCCTTGAGTGCTGAGCAAGTTCACAACCGTTCTCTTTTTAAACAAGTCTGCATCAGGGACTTTATTCTGGAAATTCACTTGTTTTTTTATTTTCAACCTTATCCCTACTTCATTGTTGCGTTTATTAGAGTCTAGATCGTAACTAAAGTAGGCTTATGTACCCCCACTATATTTCAATTCATGTTTACTTTTCAGAGCATTTAAGATAACCTATAGTTATCTTACTCATTTGTTACTTGTATGTTATGTATTTTCTTCTCTACAATGTGAATTCTAGGAAGGCATGGATCTTGTCTGATTCACTTTTGTGTGTCCAGTGCTGGGATGTGGTAGAGATACCACAATACTTGTTGACAGTGTGTATTTACTGTTTATTATTTAAGGTCTTTTCCATTTATTAATTATATGAAAATCAAATGATACCTTTGTGAAAATGCTTTATAAACTGTAAAGTTTTATAAATTTTAGTGTCCAAATGAGGAAGCTGTTATAATTTTTCCTCTACACTGCAGGAAATCATGCCAGAGTTTAAATAGTTTGTCAAACGCCACATAGGCAGTTAATTGGTTAAAATCAGACTGCAACCCAGCCTGGCTGAGTACTAAGTCTGTGATCCTGAAGAACATGGACAAGAAACTACAAAACTCTTTTTTTTTGTTTTTAACCCTTCCATATTTTGTTATGGGAAGAAATAGAAAAGAGAGGCTTGCTTTCAGTACTCAGATTAAACTTTTGAACTAGGAGAGACTGGGAAGGAGGATCGACACTGGGTTCTATTTATTATCTTACAAATTGAGACTAAGGATCATTAGCCCATCTATTTGGGAACAACAATACATAACTTTGGGTACAAAAGCCCATGCCATACATTTTTACTGTAAATTTGTACTTTATAATAATGCTAGATAGCTGTACATCTCAGCAGCTGCAGCTGGACAATACAAGAAGCCGTCTTTCTGTTTACCTATTTGGTAAGAGGAGCAAATACAATGTGCACCCATGCAAAAGTGTCGAAGTGGGATTTTTACCTACCTAACGCTCTGCCTGTTTCTGTGTATATTTACCTGAGCATCACAGGGAGTAAAATAAACCCACACCATTCTTCTGTTATGTCAGCATAACAGAATGGAATGGAATTGTCAGAATGGAATGTGGGTGTGGTTCATGACAGCTGTGCATGAGGACAGCAGAAACCCATCTGTGCACTTACTCATGTGGCAGGTGAATGGCAAGGTGTGTACAGGAGCTCCAAAGCAGCAATAGTAATGCATTTAGGATTTGTTTTTTAGAAAAGTTTCGTTTTGATTTTTTAGTTCAGTATAATAGCACATGAAAAACCAGATTTGCAAGTTTTGGAGGAGGTCAAAAATGAAAAGTTGGCTTATGCACAGGTGGTGATGTTGGCCTTGTGCGCCAAAATTCCTATGACAGTTAAATGGAGTAAGAATCAACCAATACAGTCACAGGGAAAGAAGACCTCCCTAATTCAGATGACAAAGAAAATAGCAATGTTAGTACATATTTGATTAGTCAAAATGGTTACACAACCAAATGGGATGATCCAATATTAGAACCATGTCCAAAAATGTAGTGAGGATCTTGGCAGGGGTGCGGCTTATTGAACAGAATTCTAGCACTGCCATTCAATACTGGAAATTGTTTGTAACAGACAAAATACCACAAGATTTTGTGAAATATACAAATGATAAAATGCAAGTAAAACATTCTGCATCACCAATAGCCATACTCAAAATGTGTTTATCTGACACATCACTAACTGTACCTAAAGCATTCATAGGTCTGCTGCACTTAGCAGGGCTTTCTCTTGGTAACTGTAGGAATGTAAAAGACTTATGTATATAAAAGACTTATGAGTGTGGGCTTGAAGGTTGTAGAATAAGGGTGACAAGGAGAAGAATTTGTTTCCCTCAAAACTGCCAAGAAAGAAAAAGAATTAATAATCTGGGTGTTTTCCACTCATCATTGGAGAGTTTTGTTTCAAACGGTCAATCAATTTACATACTACCTTACTACATGATTCTTGATGAACATCTTGCAGCATTTCCTGGTTGCTATAGCTTTACACAGTATATTAGGGTCATGTGGAGTTTACAGTTGAACAAAGGGAAGGGATGGGACTGACTCAGATCCTCTGTTTTAACTGTACTCTAATCTTGACAGGACTGAAGCCCGAGATGGTAACTTTTTACAACAAAACCAAAGACAGAGTAGATGTTGCTGAGTTATGCAGCAACTATGATGTCACTCAAAACACAAAGCGTTGGCCGATGGTTGTATTTTATTTGATCCTAAATATGTGTGGCATGAATTGTTTGATAGTTTACAAAGAAAATAATAAGTACAAACTAACATGGAGAAATTTTTCCTGGAACTCATAAGAGGTCATTTAGAGCAGAGAAAGCACAAATGTTTCTGCCCAAGGAACTACACAAAAAAATTATGAAGTACATTGGGGAGCTAACAGGTGAACAGGCAAGTGCAACATCAAAAAGGCTTACTATGATAACAGGAAAACCAAAAAGATGTCAACTGTGCATGGAGCACATAGTTGTCATGTGTGAAGACTGCCTTGGGTGTGACAGTTGAAGCAAAGATTATTTCTGTGGTAGACTTTTGCTTGTATTTACATTGTAGTTCACATAGGTTTTATTTCTGATGTTATCTTTTAGGTCTTGTAAGCAAGTAAACAGCTGATGTGGAAATGTCGATGTCTGTTCTAAGCACTCATTACATATTTGATATTTTATTTTATAGATATCATATTTTCCTGCTAAGTACACATTGTACACTGTAGTATGAAGCTGCTGACAAGACAGGAAGACAGGAGGTGAGAAGAATGGTCTGCCTCACAGCAAAAGAAAGCTAAACACTTGTGCTGTCAGTGTATGCAAGACGTGTGCATGGAACATACAATTGTCATGTGTGAAGACTGCCTTGAGTGTAGCAATTGAGCAAAGATTATTTTTGTTGTAGAGTTTTATTGGTATTTTCATTATAATTAATATAGGAACTTATTTCTGGTATCTTTTAGATTTTGTAAGAAAGTGTATAGATGATATGAAAATGTGGATGTTTATTCCTAACATTCAATATATAATAAGAATTTAATACTTTATTTTATTGATATTTTATATTCATGTTAACTACAAATTGTAAAATATATTAAGAATTTCCTGAAATATAGCAAGGTCAGTGAGATGTCAAGTATATCCTACAAAAAGTCCAGGAAAGCAAAACACACATGCTGTTGGCGTAAGCCATGTATGTGTGTGGAGCACACTGTTGTCATGTATGAAGGCTGCCTTAGGTGTAATAATTGAAGCAAAGATTATTTTTGTTGTAGAGTTCTATTGATATTTCATTGTAATTCATGTAGGAATTTATTTCCCTTGTGTTTTAGACTTTGTACACCAAAAACACAATATTGAAAATTTTGATACATTTTTATAAACACTCAATATATTTTAAAAATTCAATACTTTATTTTTTGATATTTTTTCCTGTTAAGTACTCATTGTTAAATATAGTAAAACTCATAAAATTAAAATTAATAATTCAGCAATAGAAGTATTCTAAAGAATAGACATGAGTATTATATACCCATAACAATGTACTTTTAACACAAAATTGGTTTGTGGGTATAATTATTATAGTTAACATTTATTGAATGCTGCTGTTCCTTGGTATCGATGAGAGAGTGGTTCTACAACCTCTGAAGGTCAGAAATTGGAGGCTACTCAAGTACCTTACATAAAATGTATGAAATCAGTATTTGCTTGTAACCTATACACATCTTCCCTTTAAACCATCTGTAGATAACTTATACTACCTACTACAATGTATGTACAATGCTATGTAAATAGTTGTACTCTAATTGTTTAGAGAATAAAGACAAAAAATTCTGTACATATTCTGTACAGATGCAGTTTTTGTTTTCACCTTGAATATTTTGATTTGTGGATAGTTGAACCTGTGGACATAGAACCTGAGAATATAGAGAACCAACTTTACTTTTTTCTTTTTTTTTTTTAAGATAGGCTCTTGCTGTGTAGTTTAGAACAGCCTTTAACTCCCTGTGTAGCCCGGGCTCATCTCAAACTCACAAAGATCCTCCTGCCTCAGCCTTCCAAATACTGGAATTCCAGGTGTGCACTACTATGCCTGGCATACCAAGTGTGCTGTCTGTATCAGGCACTAAGCCAAACACTACATGAACTAAGTTTTGTTATCTTGGTAGCTCTGTGAAGTGTATAGTATAATATAGGTGAAGCAACTAACACACAAAAAGATAAGACACTCACTTAAGGCCCACACAACTGGCCTTGAAACTCCTAATTACTATGCTATCTTGCATAGGCCTTAGAGATTCACACGGGATTACAGTGTAGGCCTTGACACTTACCTGCTCTACGGCTTTGAGCATATTACTTCATTTCCCCAAAGTTCAGTATTGTATGTGTTTCACATGATGCTAAGCTCAGTGAAAAGGCTGTTGTAAGAATAACTTAGAAATAGTACACTCCTGTAACCCCAGCACTGGGAGGCTGAGGTAGGAGGATTGCAAGTTTTAGTTCATCCTGGGCAACTTAGTAACTTAGTGAGACCATAAAAAATAAAAATAGAGTTCAGGATGGGTTTGGTGTGAAGGCTTCCCCAAGGAGGTGGGGAGAATAAATTAGATAATGCTTGTGGAGAACTTGACACAGTCCTCATTGCACAGAAAATACCCAATAAATGTCATTTGTGCTCGTCTTTGCCTCTCCCACCATCACCTTTAATGAAGTACGAGTGTGGTTACTTTTACAATTACAATTTATTAAAAGAAACACCTCCTTTTCCCTTTGCTTCATTATCTGTGTAGTCTCTGTCCACGTGTCCCTCCTCCATCTGTCTTTCTGGGCAAGAATATCCAAATACTGTAGCCACATCTTTGCCGGTAGAAACTTCAGGAAGAGATGAACAGCTTTCAGGGAACACGACACTTAAGCTTTTACCTAATAAATGGATAAATACATTATACGTGAGCCTGCTGATTTTTTGGACCCAAATGAACAGAATATAATTAACAGGCAATAGTTCCCAGTTCTGGAACTACAAAATCCCTGCAGGAGCACACAAGACCTTAATCACCTCAAGGGTTGTATGTGGACAAAGAATATGTTCTGAACATAAAGGGGCTTATTTTTTAAAAGTGCATCTTGATTCTGTTGTGTTTCATGCAATTTAATTTGTAGTCAGAACTACATCATGATAATCTTTTATTGTGATTTTTCCCCCCCACTTAACAGCTACTGAAAGTAATGAACCTCTCATGTGAGGCTCCTGTTAAGTATTCATTGTTTAATATAATAAAGCTCATAAAATTAATAATTCAGCAATAGAAGTATTCTAAAGAATAAACGTGAGTGCTAGAAGGAAGTCCTTATAGGTCAATATGTGCATCAAAGGCTTAAAAAGAGAATAATATTTGTTCATCAAATCTACTTCTTAGAATACTAAAAGAATTAATAAAGGGGGCATTGTTAAATTCATTATTTATTGCAGCCATATTAATAATATACAATTAATAAATGTCTTAAATATGTACTAATGGAGGTTGCTGAGCATATAAGGTCAACTGTAAGGCTAGTACAGATCATAGGATGGGTCATCAGTATTGATATTAAGAATGTTCACTGGCCATTTTTAAGTAAAATAAATCAAACTAGACATAAGATTCTTATTTCAAAAATACACGTTATATATTTGCGTGTATTTAAAATATATACCACAGTACTGATCAGGCATCACTTTGAGGTGGGGGATTACAGATAATTTTAATCAAAAATAGCCCGATACTTCTACTGGGCCAGAAAATTATTTTAAAGATTTGGAAACCACCATCCTATGATGGATGTGTTTTTTCTTGGGGTAAAGAGGAAAAAGCTGCAGGGAGACAGGTGAACTTCCATCCCACCCAATTTCTAAGAGGTCCCACATGAGCCAAGTGTACAACTTGCCTAGTCTAGACAAGGTTTGGGGAAGAAGAGGCCCGATGTTCTTCACGTTCAACACAGATGTGACTACACTCATGGATGACACACTTCTCCTCTGGCGAACAGTCCCAGTCACTTTTGCAGAGGTCAATGCAGGTGCCTAAGATAGAAGAGAGCAGCTGAAAACCTCTGTGCTTTACGTTCAAGTGCCAGGGATGGCAGCTCTTGATTAAGAAGGAAATTCCACTTTTTTCTTTCAGTTCAGCACATAATTCCCAAATGACCACTGTCATTTACATCTTGTATATTTCCATCAGAAACAAGATATTCACATAAGGTCAATAAATTTAAGCCTACTTTAGACATAGGACTAAAGTGCTTGTGTTTGTGGAAAGGAAGTGCGAAAAAGCTCCCTTAAATGTCCTCGCTTTCTCATATGACAGGGAATGGAACAGTGAAGGAGTCACTTGCATTTACTGAACAGCATCCAGGGTGTCTTGCAATCCTCCTGTGTAGTGAGTCCTAACTGGTCCCATATTATAGATTTTACAGCTGGGGCTCACAGGTGTGACTTGCCTGCTAGTAGATATAGAAGTGGGATTCCACTTAGACCTACTTGGTCCCTAGGCTTGTGCTACTGCTGTCCCATGGTGGTGAAACACTCCCTTACAAAGAGTGTACCTCCAGTTCCAAGAAACTCAATATTAGTCTTTTTATTTTGGTACGGGGAATTGAACGCAGGACCTTGCACTTGCCAGCCAGGCACTTATGCTGCTAAGTTGTATCCCTAGCCCTCAATATTTGTCTTGCGAACCAATGGAATATGTCTCAAAACTTGGTTAGGACCTCACAGGGGCTACTAGTGAAATACTGTGCAGTCCTCTGGATGGCTGTATGTGGTGCTTAGTTGGCCACTCAGCTATTGCTAGGAATTTCTCTACCTGATTATATCTCTGAACTTCTCTGGGCCTTTGTTTTCTCATCTGTAAAATGAGCCCTTAGATGCCACAGCAGAAATGAAGATCATTCTCCAGTGCCAACTCTAATCCATAAAGGAGGCTACCTGACGCCATATTGAGCAAGATTGGATGTCTTGTCCAGGCTTAGGGACAAGAAGTGTCATGGTTGATTAGAAGTGTCTAAGAGGTAGTAGAAGGGGCATGGTGGGATATGTATGCTATACATTATAGACCTGAGAGAAAACCACTGTGATACCACCATGCTTCTGCTAGCTGTTGTTGATTTGTGATAAGGTTAGAGACCTCTTGTTCCCACTTGGAGCACTTTGGTCACTTAGTAAGTATTTCTCTGTTGATTTTTTTACTATTTATAAAGCATAGAGGAAGTTATTCAGGAAATACTTTAGAGTCTAACAATAGAGATAAGACTTATAAAGTACTAAGAAAAAGTAAATTGGAGCACTCAAGGGACTCAGAAGAAATAATAGGGGAGAAACTGAGGCTGTGACCAGTCTTCAAGGAATTAAGAGACGAGTTACAGGCAAGTAAGGGCAGAGAATTTAGAACACTCCTTTGAGACAAAAGTAGTAAAAGGAGCAAAGTTTGAGATGATTCACGTTTAACATGACTAAGACAATATTTCCTCTAGGCAACCCTATGAAGAAGCTGGTAGAGAGGGAGACACTGGAGGATGGAGAGTGGCTGATGGGGTGTAGAGAGTCCAGCTAGAGAAGTTTATTGGTAACTTTTATTCTCATTGCTGGGACAAAATACCCAATACCCAAAATGAAGGAAGTACAGGTTTATTTAGCTCACTGTTTGTGGAGGTTTCAGTCCATAGTTCAGCTAGCTTCAAGGCAGGGTGGCATGGCATGGGAGCAACACTTAAAGATAGCAGCCAGCAAAAGCAGCAAGAGCAAAAGGGGGAGAACAAGCTTCTTCTCTTCCCTTATATTGTAAGCAGGCTTCCCCCATCCCCACTGCAGCACTCACACCAGTGCTGTGCCCTCCTCTTGCACAGGCTGAGGATATTTACAAAGTGAGGATCCTGGATCCCTGGTGAGTTTTTAGTTAAATTTCTAGACTTTTCAAGTTGACACAGTGTATCAATCATGTCCTCAGGGAAAGGAAGGAAGGAAATAAAGGCAAAAGAGATTCTGCTCCCAGGAGTAGAATGGTGTCCATTAAGAAGAATCCTGAAGAAACATGTCTTTCCTTCTCTCTTTCTTTGTTCTGCTCTTCCTGTACACACTGGTTCCTGATGTCCTTTTTTTTAGTTCTCTTACTCAAAGAAGATCGGGGCTAGACTCACCCAACAGCTGCAATGGTCTCACTGCCGCCTGAAGCTCCTGTACCACTAGGCTGAGAGTAATGAGAGTCCCGAGAAGAAGGAGGCCTCCCAACTTCATGTTGTTGTTGGAAGTCTTTAGTAATCATGCAGCGTGGCCAAGAGGCCTGAAGTTTATATCTTCTACCCCCTGAGCTGGAATGCGGGGCTGGAGGAAGTCCATGTTCTGTGAAAGACCAAGCCCTGCCCAGAAACTGACATTGCTGGAGACGCACACCATCCCTGCCCTGGGTAATTCTATGTTACTTAAGCAAAGCTCTGTGCCAAGGGAACACCCTCCTCTTACTGATAAGACTTCTTAACCAGGAAATCTGGAGCAGGGTTGGAGATGAGCCCTGTGTGTAGTTGCATTCACTCATTCATTTTCAACACAAGTATTCTGTTGTTTGTTGTTTGTTGGTCAGGCATGTGCTAGGCATTAATTTGGCTTGAAGAATATGCTCTCAGAGAACTACAATCCAGGAGCTGGGTGCTAGATAGCTGAGGGTGCAATCTGCTTTTTCTCTTTACTCTCCCTACTCTGGGACTGTCGCCCCTGTAATTGAGGGCAGGGAGCTAGCAGGGTGTTCTCCCATCATCTGTTGGTGACACAGTAGGTCCCCTTAGTCTTACTATGCTGTGGTCTGTTTCTCTGCTGCTGGGTACCTGCTTAAGTGCTATTATCTTTGCCTGCATGATACATGTATTTTCTTCTAGTTCATCTTTTCCAACTTCGTTTCTGTGAACCTAAACTCTTGACATCCACGTTAAACTCTTGGAAGATGTTTCTCATCTTCAGCGCTGGGCTTGGGCTGTAGGAACCAGCCAGCCCAGCAGTAAGATTTCATTTTCTCATTCTTGTAGGCATTCGTAACCCAGATGGGTGATTTTTCTGAAACACATTCTCCCTGTTGGTCTTGGGGGTAGATGATAGACCCTCTTTTCCCCCAGTGGTATGGATAGCAGGGGAAGCATGTATAACTTTTGGCTGTGAACCTTGTGTTCCAGAAGATTCTTTTATTTATTTATTTATTTTGGTGCTAGGGATTGAACTCACGACCTCACGCTTGCCAGGCAGGCACTTATGCTGCTGAGCTAAATCCCCAGCCCCAGAAGATACTTAACATCAGTTGAGGAGGATGCCTGGGATGGTTAGTGATAGCAAGAGAGTATGCAGCCTCTTTACAGGCCTCTGGGAGAGACAACCTCAATTTTGGGAAGTAGAGCACTTTTTAAGGGTTCTAGTTCCTAACTTTGGTGCTATGTGCAGAAATCTTTACTACTTTGCTCCATTTGTCACAGTTCCTGAAAAGCCATCATTGTTTGGATAAACAATTGACTCACCTCATAAATTGCTAGTACTCCCAAGGGGTTAAGGGTAATTCAGTTGTAATTCATGCATAAAGCACTTTCACAAAGTGCTTTAACTCAGTTCTGTCTATGCAAAAGCTGAGATTGGCTAGTTTCCAAGTTCTGTCACAGGGCTAGAGGCTGATAAAAACTCTTAGAGACCCTAGCCATCAAAAAGGTTAGTGATATTTTCCGTATGTAATTCCAAATTTTAGAAATGCTACAGCCTGAAGTCAGTATTTTTTTTTAATTGGACAAAAGTCAAATATGTCAAAATTTAATTCACTTCTTTTTGGGTATCCTCATTTCTCATTTTGTTTTGGGTTCCCGAGCATGTGCTTATTTGGCCCTATAGTTTATTCAGAGCTGAGTGGGGCCTTCAGAGCCTCCCCATTGGGTTCAAGCCTATTTCCCTGCCTACTCTCTTGTTCCCCACCACCCCGCACACTGGGCTGCTCTGGTTGTTGTACCTTGCCTAGTAGGTCATGTTTTACCCCTCCAGTTCAGGTTGTTCCTTGAGCTTGGAACTTCTTTCTCCTTTCCTTCTCTACTTATCTAGATTTTTCTCATCTTCAGGACTCAGCCTGATGGTTTGAATATGGCTTCCAAAGGTTTAAGTGTGGAAGGCTTGATCTTCAGTGCAACAGTTGTTCAGAGGTGGGGCCCAAGAGGTTATCTGATCATGAAGATGCTAACCTTATCCATGGATTAACCCACTGGTGGCAAGTTTATAAGTGAATGAATGAGCTATTATGAGATAGGGTCCAGTTAGAGTAAGTAGGTCATTGGAGGCATGACTTTGGAGGGTGTATCTTTTTCTTCCTCTTCTTCTCCTTCTTTTCCTCCTTCTCCTCTCCTGTCTCCCTTTCCCTCTCCCCTTCCTTGTCCCTCTCTCTTCCCCTCTTCCTAGCTACCATGAGGTAAGCAGCTTTCCTCTGTCACACCCTTCTGCCAAGATGCTTCTGCATGCCCACAGGCCTGAAACAATGCAGAGAGCTGACTATGGTCTGAGCAGATACTTTGTCACTGCAATGAAAAGGTGACTAACACACCTCTGAAACTTTCCTCAACCTCAACCCTTGAGGAGTGACTTTCTTTCAGTACTCATCTGGTCATACTTTTATAACTGTATTAGTCTTAATTATTATTATTAGTATTTGACGTTTTTCTCCTGTGAGTTCCTTGAGTATCTTGATGCTCAGGATGAGGTATTTATTTTTTGTGTTTAGTGCTCAAAGATGGGTATTTATTATCCTTAGTAGTTATTAAAAGAATACATAAGGGAAGGGAAGTGAGAGGTATAAGTGGAGATTTTGACTAAATGGTGGCAGCAGAGAGAATAGGAGAGTTGGAAGGAATTTTAGAGTAAAGTGTTGAAGATGGGACTGCATAGGGTGTATGTTGGATCTTCATTGTGTTCATAATGGGGCTATACATACACGATTGTGCCATGCCATCTGAAGTGGTTCAAGCTGGCAGGAACGTGTTAAAGTGCAAGAATGGGAGGTGCCAATGGCCTCAGATAGCAGGAAAGGCATGGTGTCGGAGCTGGGTAAGCTTCCTCTTGAATCCCACCATATAAAAGTTAGTGAGTAAAGTGCTGCATTTGTTTTTCAAGAACTACTTATTAATCTCCCATGGTGTCCCATTCCCTCTGCTAAACAACTGAATGTGGTGAGCACAAGGCAGGTGTTACTTTTTCTTAAGGAGTTTCTACTCTAGAGGAGGGAGATGGAGGTAAACAAATAAGTATTCCTCAGAAACCATGTTGGTACAAGAGACAATGATGTTTTGTTCATACACAGAAGCTTCCCGTGGAAACCAAGTGGCACCTGATGGCATGTTTAATACTTCTAGCAAGGCAGTAGGTGGTTTGTCAGAACTCCAATGGCCAAAAGGAAGAACTGAGTATGACAATGCAGGGATCATCTCTGCTTCACTTTAACATCTACTTCATCTCTCACTCTTTGTAACCATCTTCCTCTGTTCTCAAGCAGTAGGGCAGGATGAGCAGCATGTTGAGACAGAGAATTTCATTGGCCTAGTCTGAGTCATGTATCTTTCCAACTGATAGTTATAAACAAAGCTGCTGAGAACCTGTTGTGTGTTTGGAGAAGGGTGGTATTCGAAGGACCATTGTACTTAGGAATGTACATGTGGCTTTCAAAATAAGCCTTATTATCATCATCTTACAGATGCAAAACTAAGCCAGAAGATTTAGTAGCATGACAGAATAGTTAAATGGTAGAACCAAGAACAAACCTCAAAGACAGTGCTGTTACATAGAACACATTACTGCCAGGTTAGATCCAAATTCTTGGAAAATAATTTCGATTCATTTTTAGTCATTGATAAATGAGCTTTTGAGAGCACAAAATTCTGCTCCGTCTTGTATAGTTTTAATGATCAGGATGTCATCAGCAGAGAATCGCTTTGAGCTAAAGAGTAGATTCTGGCAACCAATCAAATCAAAGATAGAGTGCTCCACCAAAAACTAATTATGGTGTTATGAAAGTGGAGATGTAGCTTGTGATCCTTATTTCTGGCTGTGTACTCAGGTCATAAAGTTGGAAAAGAAGAGTGATGCAAGTATGGCACAGTGGACAGTAGTAACAATCTGGAGAGTGACTGATCTGATTTGACTCCACCACTTACTGGCTCTAAGGCTTGGGAAAATTAATTTTTTTCTGAGTCTCATTTAATCATAACTTATTGAGCAAACTAAAGGGAAATTTACATACATTCATACTCTTAGCACAGTATCCTCAAAACTGGCAGCTAACACTATTATGAGTCTCTGTTGGAAGGAACGTGTGCCTTTCTATTTCTTAGAGCAAGGTACTTCATTTAGCACATGCAGAAGTATAACAGATTATTAAGGAAATAATATAAAATAAATAAAAAGGAGCCAGGACCTGTACATATTTTATTCTGCTGAATATTATAAATTGAACCATGAAGGAGCTCTAGGGCTTAAGCTAACATTACTGTGAGCTCAGTGACTTTATGTCACTTTATGATTCCCATATGGAGGTCAAGAGGCTTAGTGAGTGACAGTTTCAGCCTAAAGAAGGGGCATTAAAGCTAGGGAATGGGCATTAAAGTCACAACATTATTATATAATTTCTTCACAGGGTGATAAAGAAGGTACCAATTTGTACAGAAGGTACTGTTCCCACCCACAAGTCTTCTCTCAATGACAATTTCTATGTGGTGAGGAGGTTGTTACTGGCAATGACCATTATGTACCTAATTGTCCCACATACCAGCTCCCCTGCCCACTGTGCTCTGAAACTAGAGCGTGTGACCAAGGTTGAGGTTGGTGTCAGGCACTGTAGGATAAGATCTGGACTTCATGAGAATGATAAGCACGTGCCCTCCTATCTAAATCCTTTCTTCCTCTATCAGATCCAGGTAGAATAGCAGGTAAGAACCTGGGCTCAGGGGCCAGAGCACCTAGACTCAGATCCTGACTCCAACTTAGCAGATGTCTGTGAGAATGAGCATAAGCTATTGAATACCAGCATCATGTTGCTGAATGAAGTACCCTCTGAAGACAGTGCACATGGGCAGAAATAGAAGGAGATCTTGCTATCTATCCCCTGGATCTGGGTCAGCATGTGCAACCTGGGTCACGGCACAGGTGTTTTGAAGCCTAAGCCCTGATAAAGACTTGATCTTTCTGGGTTATATAGACACTCCTTAAACACTGAGTAATGACATGTTTTTCACACAACCTTTGAAGCCAAGAGAGACATCTGCCTCCTCATCAAGGAACACTAAAGACTGGAGGCCACAGAGAGAAATGAGGTGGGATGAAAGG